CCCCTTCTAAACCCAGCCTGGACTTCTGGCAGTTCTCTGTTGATGTGCTGTTCCAGTCGTTTTTGGATAATCTTCAGTAAGATCTTGCTTGCATGTGAAATCGGTGAGATTGTTCTGTAGTTTCCACATTCTGTTGGGTCACCTTTCTTTGGGAAAGGAACAAATTTACATAACTAAATTAATTTTTAAAATCATCAAACTGTTTTTAAAATGGCAACTCTTTATTGTAAATCTTCATAAATGCTATTATAAAGAAAAATTTTTAAATTCAGGAAGTTACTTTCTTTTTTAAAAACATTTTACTGTTATTTGAGTGTTCACAGAACACATTGGTTTTTCATTCAACAACTCATCTACATCATGTTCCATGGCATTGGCTATTACAATCTTATAATGTATTGCAATCTTACACTGTAACACATTTCTTGCTTCAGACCTGTGTATTATGTTTTCATTCATCTGTCTTTCCTATCTCTTTATGCCTTCTGTGCGTTCTACTTTCAGTGTTTTAATTTCTAACGTATCATCAGTTTGAACTTTACTAAGTCATGTCTTAGAACATAAACATTGCCATTTTCTCCCCCTAGGGATAAATCTACGGGCTTATCAACTGGAAGGAGTAAACTGGCTCGCCCATTGCTTCCAGTCCCAAAATGGCTGTATCCTGGGAGATGAGATGGGCTTGGGTAAGACCTGCCAGGTATGTTACTGGGCTGGAACCACTGCTTACAGTGAAACAAAGCTGTACAAAGCCCTAGGTGTTGGCCTTCTAGTTTGTAATTTTATTCTGAGATGAGAAATGCATGACTGCTATAGACATGCCTGAGTTAGACTTGTATTTGATGAACCTGCTGTCATGTCACTTCTGACTAGTGACAACCCTACATGTACAGAGTAGAACTTCCACCAAGCATTTTCAGGGCTGTACCCTTTTGGAAGCAGATTGCCGGCCTGTCTTCTTAGGTACCTCTGAGTGGATTCAAACTGCCGCAGATTTGTGGCAAGAAGGTAAGCATTTAATCATTTGTACCACCTTGGTGTCTGTTGTCGCGCCTCGACACATGATATTTCTCTTTAAAGCAAATACAGCTGCTCTTGGATCAGATTCACTCTGATCTCCTTTCACGTCATCTCTCTGCCATTGGCTTTCAAAGTCTGTAAATCACATGAGAGGAAATGGCCCACCTCTCTCCCTGTGGTCAGCTGTTGGATTCAGATTCCCACTTTTGGGTTAGCAACACAACACCTATGTACTGGACCACCAGAGCTTCCTTAGGGAAACTTTTTTATCTAGTTAACTGCATCACTTTTAATGTTTATCCCCCTTCTTCAGTAGTTTGTGGGGCTGTATTCCATTTTATTACATGCTTTGAAGTATGGAGGAAATAACATTGTGTTTTCCAGAATGCCTTGGCTATTTTAAAGGCCTTAAAAAGTGAATCTAGAATGTAGACCAGAAAAATCAAATGTCAGTAATCTAAAGACCAGAAGAATTAACCATAAGTAAGCATATGGCATCTTGATCTTGAGATCTGCGTTTATGGATGTTACTATGAGGCTTCAGTTGAGAAGCCAAATAAAAATACCTCTAGATGTATTGTGCAGGTTTGCTTATCTGTAGGATAAATAATACAGAGTAATAAAGATGCAGATAGGCAACTTGATGAGAAAGCATAGGGGTATATATTTTCTGATTACAAAAAGATTTCAGTAGTGAACACCTAGAATGAATTGAGTCTCAATGATCCCTTTAGTCTGCCCCCTCGAAGCCACCTTTGTGTACATAAACCTCAAGCTAGGCCAGTTTGGCTTTGTGTTGGAGACCACTTTATTTTAAAACATGAATACATACATCTTCAATGTTGAGATTATTCAGTATACAATATCACCTTTAATGAAGATCCTGTAGTATCATCTCTCATTTATTGCCTTCAGTTTTCTCTTGGTTCAGTTTCTCTTCAGCAGACTTGGTTCTGAAGGATCCCTGAAGGGTTAATGGCAATATTGAGGATTCTGCTATACAAGGAAATGTTCCAGGAACCCTGAGGCTCTTGCATGTCAGGGACCCTTAGCAATGTCTAGGCTGCACATGGCTCTGACTTTGTTTCAGGAATTGCTTTGCATCAGCACTCTGTTATCTAAGCCATGTATCCATAATGGGTTAAGCACTCTGAGACAAGTTCTGAAGGCTATGGAATGTTTCCAAGTACATCTCCTAGAACACTTCAAGTCAACAGTCTTTTATCAGACTTACTTAACCATTGCATTCACAGGTCAAAATATAGTGAGAGAACACTGTCTTGGGTAGTTTAAGAGAACTTGCTCCAGCCCAAATATTTTCTGTTTCTCTGTACCCTGAAAAAGGTATATGTACACTTCAGCATATGCCTCTCTTTGTGCTATTTTTAGTAACTGTAGCTTTACAGTAAATACAAGGTTCAGCTCTAAACGGGTGCTGCCAGCCTAATAAAGCTGTAGCCCTTCATCTTCAGTTATCTCTCCTGAGTCTCTGCCTTCTGCGACACACAAACCCAGAGCACCTGGTATGACATGGTCCTAATATACTTCTGCAGTGAGAGATATGGAAATAAAACAAAGGGTTTCCATCTGCTTGGGTGCCAGGCCGACAAGTCCTTAGGCCCAGTGCTAAGCCTCATCTCCCATCTCCTTGTCACCGAATATAACTTGTTGATTTCCCCCAGGACCAGCACCTTTTCCAAGGACACTTTTTCACTCATTGCCGACTAGTTGGAATCAACTCCTGCCTGTTTAGTGTGGTTTTTGAAGTTGTAAATTGCATGAGAAGAGATTGCCCATCTTTTGTCTTTGGAGCTGCTGGTGGATTCAAACTGCTGCATAGCATCCTTATTAAAAATTAAACAGGATCATTTTATCCATTGTGTACCTACTGAGGGTTTATCTGGGCTGAGAAGCCATGGTATTTTTATTACCATTTTTATATATTTTAAGCCAGTAAAGTTTTCCATTATAAAATGAACCACATTAAAAAAATAACTGCTCCATGTAGTCATAGTATAGTAATCTAGCTATAACTTAATAGTAATAAGGTTTTTTGGGTGGCTGAAATGATAGTGTGTTTTTGTTGTTGTTATGTGCCGTTGAGTTGCCTGTGACTCATAGCAACTCTATATACAGCAGCTCTGAACCCGGCCCTGTCCTGAGCCCATCTCACTAATTCCAACACACCAACCCCATTGGCCCAGTTACCGTATCAATCCATCTCATCTTACTCTTTCGTGCTGTCCCTCCATCCTTCCAAGCATTGTGTCCTTCTTCAACGACTGGTCGCTCCTGGCTGTGTGCCCAAAGTATGTGAGGCGGAGCTTCAAAATCCTAGCCTCCAAGGAGAGGCTTGATTTCACCTCTCCAAGACAGACCTATTTGTTTTCTTGGCAGTCCATGGATGTTGAAGACTCTTTTTCCAGCACCACACTTCAAAGGCATCTATTCTTATTCTGTCATTCTTAATCATTGTCAAACTCTCTGACACATAGCAAGTAATTGCAAAGACCATGGCCTGGATTAGGCTTACCTTGTTCTTTAGACCGACATTGTTGCTTTTCAGCACTCTGGAAAGGTTCCTGACAGCAGATTTTTCCAATGCAATTAATCTTTTGATTTCCTGACTGCTGGTGTTAAGAGAGTTGATTGTGGAGTTGAACAAGCTGTAATTGTTAAGAACCTCAGGTATAGTTTATATTTTATCAATCTAACACTACCATTGCTATTTTCTATTTTATTATATTTACACAACAGTTCTTTTCCATTGGCTGGACAATATCCCATCAAGAGAATTTACTTAATTTCTTTGTAGATGAGAAGTGGCAACTCCCCTTCTCTCTTTGTGTGATTTGAATGAACCCTGACTGTTATATCTTTAAACACATAGATTTCTCAGGACATTAGGTTTAGATTTAGGAAAGATTTTCTTAGAAATATATCAGCATTTGGGGTGTGAGGCTCATATTTTTGTTGGAAAAATGAATGCTATTTCCTCTGTAGATTGTAGTATATATCCTTTTGAGGGCTTTTTTTCTCATGTATATAGGCATATCCTGGAGTGTGGCTATTTGCCTTTTTAAAGATTTTCATTTAATAACTTACTTTTTAGCTGTGGGGCATTACTTATTGTCTGTTTTTCACATCAGAATAAATATTCTAAGAGAGATAGAGGTGACAGGTATTTTGTTCCTTGGAACTTAGCAAAATAGTATTAAACAGCGACAACAAAATTTTAATAAGTTTTCTATGGATATATGTGGGAGGGAGGAGAGAGGAAGAAAACTATTTCCTTGGGAAGAAAGCTCAGAATACCACCATTTGGTTTGTCATTTTGACAGTTGTATCTTGATTTTCTTAGTTTATGTTGTTTGAATGTTCCTGATCTTGTGCAATGTTTGCACTGTTTTCATTGGCCTGTGTTATCTTTCCTGATTTTTATAACTTTGCATTAAAGACTCTATCATAAATACTGAGCATTATTGCTAGTTAAATACTGAAGTGATTAAGTATATACTTCATTTTGACTGTTATGTCTCATATATAAATGTGATTCAAAATGCTTTTTCCCCTCCCATATTCTATTTCAGACTATTGCTCTGCTCATTTACTTGGCTGGAAGATTAAATGACGAAGGACCATTTCTAATTCTCTGTCCCTTATCTGTTTTGGGCAACTGGAAAGAAGAGATGGAAAGGTACAGAGTACATGTAGTTGAAACTTTATTTTTTTAGTATCAACTAATGTTCTGTTTCATAGGAAAAGTGATGTTTTTATATTATGCTATTTTTAGGTTTGAGGTTTTTTTCTGAATGATGTATAAAATATTATGATGTAGCTATATGGTCGTAAACTGTGAGTTTCTTTCACACAGCTCTAAACTGAAGCAGAGTCCATAAGGAAGCTATTACTATTTGGCAGCTGGAAGCTCTTTACAAATTTTAGTAAATTTTGCTAAACTAAAGGAGAAGCCATCTCTTTCATCATGGGATAGGAAGTAATATTTTTTTCCTTTTGAAGGCAAGCATAAGACCCTTGTGCATGTTTACTTGAGACTTGTACAGAGACTTATCCTGAGGTTGAGCCATTGATCAAGGTAACATTGATCATATCTTGTGCTGTGACAGAGCCCAGCTGACACAGTGGTTAAGTGTTCCAGTGACTCTGTGGGAGAAAGATGTGGCAGTCTACTTCCATAAAGATGTGTTCAAACAAACAAACAGAAAACAAACCTCACCAAACTGCCATCAGGTTGGAACTAACTCTTAAATGACCCTCCAGTGGATTTTCAGGAAAGAATGGCCATCTTTGTCTCATAGAGCAGCTGGTAGATTCAGACTCCCTGCCTTCAAATTACAGTGCAGCTCTGTCCCAAAGAAGCTACAAGCTCCTCCCATAAAGACAGCAGCCTTGGAAACTGTGAAGTGGACTTCTACTCAGAGAACGCATGGAGTCGTCATGAGTTGGCATCAACTCGATGGGATGTGGTTGTGATGACTAAATATGCTCCTGACTTAAGCTATGGGCTTTTCAGTCATATGTGTATGAATAGGGCAAAGAAAAAATAAATATAACAATTTGATATATTCACCAGTGATATTGGCAGAGAATGTTGAATATACTATTAACTGCCAGAAGAATGAACAAGTCAGTCTTAGAAGAAATACTACCAAAATGCTGCTTCTAAGCAAAGATGGTGAGACTGCAGCTTACTTATTTTGAGCAGATCATTAAGAAAGACCTCCTACTAGAAAAGAACATCAAGTAGAGAATCAATGAAAATGAAGGAAATACTTAACAAAATAAATTGACATAGTAGCCACAACCTTGGACTCAGACGTACATGAGCTTTACGTATTTAATGCCTGGAGACTTTTCTGAAGTCCTTGTTAGAGGTTCACAGGACTCTCTTGGTTGGGGGGCATATATGAGTTCTGCATGTCTGCAGTCCATCTTTAAGATCTCATTTGCTGGATGTATAAGCAAACTCTTTTCCCATGGCCCTGGTATCTGTGTTCATTTCTCTCTTTCTCTCTCTTTGGATTCAGATTTGCTCCAGGTCTTTCTTGTGCCATATATACAGGTGACAAGGAAGAGAGAGCCCGCCTACAGCAGGACCTAAAACAAGAGTCACGTTTCCATGTGCTGCTAACTACCTATGAGGTACTTGTTTTCCTATAGCAAGCACTCTTCACCTAGAACTTTAGAACTTCTACACCCTCAGAAATTATAGCCTATTCCCAAGTTGCAAGTCTCTCTGATGAACAAATGGTACTTGCCCTTTAATATTCTGTAAATTTCTTGTAACTTTGCTGTAAACTTTGAAACAGTTGACCAACTTTTTTCCACAAGAAACTCTTCATCACACTCACCTTCATTTGCTCAACATGCAACTTTTAAATCAGTGAGAAAAGTAAAATTTTTCTTACACTAAAGTACAATAAAGACTCTATGAGTCTGTCTTGACCTGCGTACAAATTTCACTTACGTATTTACTTAGACTAAAAATAAACTTAGGAACAGATTTCTTTCATACCTCAGGGACTGTTTATAGATTTAATTTTCTTGAATGTATACATTTTTCTGGGGTGGGGGGGAAGTCTCTTTTCATAAGAATTTCCAAAAAATGCTGTGACCAAAAGAAGTTAAGAACTGTTGTGCTCCTAATTAGTTAGATTTCCCCCCCTCTCCTTTTCCTGTTGTATTAAGGAGGACGGGTTTCCAGGGAGGTGGCTCTTCAGTTGGTCTATAAGTAGAGATAATGAGGCAGGCTATAAGGGACAGGATTTTCTAAGATGGACATGGAGGACACTACGTAGTTCCACCCTCATTTGAAGTCCTTCAAAATAAAGCTGTGTGCGTCACCGTAAGTAAAACCTTCTGCTTATTCACATTTCCCTTTTGTTGGTTTATAGAGAGCTAGTTAGGAATTATGTTCAGAATTTTTTTTTTAATTTAGTGAGTGAATAAGACATAGATAAATCCTGTCATTTAGAAAAATTTAAGACAAATAATATTGAAATATTGTTGCATTAATCCTAACCTTCATAATGTATCTTCTTTATTCTTTCAGGTTTGCTTGAAAGATGCATTATTTCTAAAATCGTGAGTTGAATGTACTACTTTTAAAATGTTTTAGAGTGCATCATGAAAGTAATCTTTCACATTTTAATCCCTCACCTTTTTATCTTGTGTTGCGTGTCTTTTATGAATTCTAATGATAAGTTACATGAAGAATTTGTCATGTTACTAAGGTCACTTGTTGGTTGCTGTGATGCTGGAACCTGTACCACCAGTGTTTCAAATATCAGAGGGTCACCCATGGTGAATAGGTTTCTGCAGAACTCTCAGATTAAGACTGACTAGAAAGCAGAATTGGCAATCCACTTTTTAAATAGCAGCCCTCTAAAAACTCTGTGAACAATGTTACATTGTTGTCATGTGCCATTGAGTTGACTACAACTCATAGTTACCCTATGAACAATAGCTCTGAACCTTGCTCTGTCCTGAGCCAATCTCACCATCTCTGACCACCCCCTTACCCCCATTGCCACAGTCATTGTATCAGTCTATCTCATCCATGTTCTTTTTTCCCCACACTGACCCTCTCTCCTTCCAAGCATGATGTTTGTTCTCAAAGGACTGGTCCTTGGCAGATGCCCAAAAGTATGTGAGATGGAGTTTCAAAGTCCTTTCCTCCAAGGAACAACTTGATTTTTACCCTCTCCAGGACAGACCTTTTTGTTCTCTTGGCAGACCATGGTCTGTTCAATACTCTTATCCAGCATATTTCAACCCTTCACTGTTTTTCTTATCTAGCACCACAGCCCAAGGTATCAATTCTCCTTCTGTCATTGTTAGTCATTATCTAGCGCTCAGATGCATAGAAAGCAATTGAGAAGACCATGGCCTGGATCAGGTGCACCTAAGTCTCTAGAGTGACATTATTGCTATTTAGCACTTAGGAGAAGTCCTTTACAACAGATTTTCCTAATACAGTTCATCTTTTTATTTTCTGACTGCTAGTACCTAAACGTGTTGATTATGGATCTGGGCAAGATGAAATTGTTAACAACTGAAATCTTTTCTCCATTTGTCATGGTGCTGCCAATTGGCCTCTTGGTGAGAATCTTTGTTTTCTTAATGTTGAGATGCAATCCATATGGAAGACTGCAGTCCTTGACCTTCTGCAGCAAACGGTTCAAGTCCTCCTCAGTTTTGGCATGCAGGCTTGTGCTAGATGAATAATGAAGGTTGTTGATGAGTCTTCCTCCAACCCTCCATCCACAAATGATGGAAGAACATAATATTAGATGTAGAGCCCAGATTAGAAGTCACTCATGAGTGAGTCACTCTTGAAATGAGGAGGAACAGCCACAGGCATCCTTTAATAATTGGAACGTACATGGAAGGTATAAAGTATGAAGGTAGAAAAACTGTTAATTTGTCAGAAGTTAAATGGAACACATAAAGTTTAATATTTGAACATTCATGAATTGAGATTGACAGGCCTAGGCCACTTTGAATCAGACAATCATACAAGCTGTTACGCCAAGAATAAAAAGCTGAGGAAAAATGGTAGTGTATTCATAGTGAAGAAATAATTTCAAGATCTTTAATAAAGAATATGCTAAAGCTGGACAATAAGGAAGAGAGAAGAAGAATTGATGCTTTTGAGTTGTGGGGCTTGACAGGAATATTGAACATACACCATGCACTGCCAAGAGTACAAACAGTCTGTCTTAGAGAGGGTAAAACCAAGTTTTTCCTTGGAGACTAGGATTTTGAAGCTCTGTCACATACTTTGAACACGTAGCCAGGAGAGACCAGTTCTTGGAGAAGGACATCATGCTTAGAAGGGTGGAGGGACAGTACAAGAGAGGAAGACCCCAGGTGAGATGTATTGACACAATAACTAGGGCAATGGCTGTAGGTGCATCAAAGTCAGTGAGTCTGGCTCAGGATAGGGCAGGCTTCAGAGCTGTTATACATAGGGTCTCTGTGAGTCATAGGCAACCTGATTACACATAACAACAACATAATAAAGTATAATATGTGAGTGATAGGGTACTATCCATACATATACAAGGAAGGCCTGTTAATGCCAATTATTATGTAAATATATGAACTAACAACTGAAGCAAAAGAAGAAGAAATTGAATATTTCTAACTTTTGCAGTCCAAAATTAATCAAACATGCAATCAAGATACACTAATACCTATTGGTGACTGTAGTGCAAAAGTAGGAAGCAATGATAGTCAGAAAGTACCCACTTGGTGACAAATTGAATTTTGTATATACAATGTTTTATTCAATGCAGATACCTTTTTAAAATGTATTTCTTTTTTTCTGTGTCTCTGAGTGTGTGTGTATGTACGTACGTGTGTGTACCATCAAATTGAATCTGACTGGTACAGGAGAAGATGTTCCTCCTTCTCCACCAGAGCATCTAGTGGATTCGAACCATGCACCTCTGGAATTGCAGTACAACTTCTTGCCACTAGGCAACCAGAGCTACAGATAATCTTTTTTAAAAAAAAACAGCACAGAATGTATGTTTACACATGGACCTCACCTGATGGACTACACAGGAATCAGATTGACAATATCTATGGAAAGAATCATTAGAGCAGCTCAGTATCAGAAGGAACCAGGCCAGGTGCTGACTGTGGAAGAGATTATCAGTTCCTCACGTGCAAATTCAAATTGAAAGTGAAGAAAATTAAAACAAGTCCACAAAAACCAAAATACAACCGTAAATCTGTCCCACCTGAATTCAGAAGTTATCTTCAGAGTAGATTTAAGGAATTGAAAACTAATGATTGAAGACCAGATCAGTTATGGGATGACATCAAAGATACCATGAATGAAAAGGCAAATGATCATTACAGAGATGGAAGAGAAAGAAAGGACCAAAAGGGATGCCGGGAGAGACTCTGAATATTGCACAAGAGACCAAAACAAAGAGAATAAATGATAAAGTCAACGAGACAAGTAGATTTCAAAGGACAGCTCAAGACAACAAAGTAAAATATTATAATGGAGTGTGCAAAGAGCTGGAGTAAGAATAAAAAGAAAAATAATACACTCAGCATTTCTAAAGGTAAAGGAACTGAAAAACAAATTCAAGCTGTGAGTTGCAATACTGAGAGATATAGTGGCAAAATCTTGAATGATCCCAGAAGCATCAGGAAAAGATGGAAAGAATATACAGAGTCACTGTACCAAAAATAATTGATTGACACTGAAAAATTTCAAGAAGTACCATCTGTACAGGAGCCAATGGTTATGAAAGAAATTCAAGCTATACTGAAGGCGCTGACAAAACGTAAGGCCCCAGGAATTAATGGAATACCAATTGGCATGTTTCAGCTAACGGATGCAGCTCTTGAAGTTCTCACCAGTTTATATCAGTAAGTTTGGATGACACCTGGCTGTGAGATCCATCTTTTTTCTCATTCCCATGGAAGGTAATCCAACGAAATGTGGGAATTATTGAACAATATCATTAATATCACATGCAAGCAAAATATTGCTTAAGATCAACCAAAAACAGCTAGAACAGTACATTAACAGAACTGCCAGAAGTTCAAGCAGAATATAGAGGAATCCATGACACCAGGCATATCATTATTGATGTCAGATGATTTCTTGCTGAAAGCAGAAATACAAGAAGAACCTCTGTTTGTGTTTTATTTGCTATGCAAAAGCATTTGACTGTGCAGATCTAGCAAACTGGCTAGCACTGAGAAAGATGGGAATCCCGGAACACTTAATTAATTATGCTCATACAAAACATGTATTTAGACCAAGAAGCTGTTGTCTAAACAGAGCAAGGAAACACTGCCTGGTTTAAAATCAGAAAAGGTGTATGTCAGAGCTGTATCCTTTCTCCATACCTCTTCAGTCTGTGCACTGACCATATCATTGGAGAAGCTGGCCTATATGAGGAAGAATCTGGCATCAGGATCAGTGAAAGACTTGGGCTATGCAAATGATACTGCCTTATTTGTTGAAAGTAAAGACATGAAACTTTTACTTATTGCAGGAGATCAAAGACTTCAGTATAGATTACATCTAAAAATCAAGAAAACAAAAATCCTCACCACCAGACCAATAAGCAACATCATAGTAGATTGAAAAGAAAAACTGTCAATGACTTCATCTTCCTTGGACCCGCAATCAGTACACCTTGGTACCAGCAGTCAGATCAAGAAATGTATTGGGCTGGGAAAGTCTGCAGTCAGGGACCTCTCCAAATTATTCAGGAGCACTGATGTTTGTTTGAGAATCATTTGCAGTGAATAAGGATGACAGAAGAAGAATTGATACCTTTGAACTTTAGTGCTGGAGAAGAGTGCTGAATATCCCATGGAATGCCAAAAGAACAAACAGATATGTCCTGGAGAAGATGCAGCCAGAGTTTTCTTTGGAGGCAAGGATGGCCAGGCTTCATCTCACATACTTTCAGCGTGTCACTTCTTGCTGTTGTTTTATACCATAGAGTTAGAACCAACCCATAGGTGACTCTCCAGCAGGATTTTGGAGACAATAATTACATCCTTCTGTGGAGCAGCTGGTGGCCATGAACTACGTGCCATTGGGATTGCAATGTAGTTTCTTGCCACTGGGCCATCAGAGCTCCCTGGGGATATTGCAAGGAGAGGCTATTCCTTGGAAAGAGACATCATGCTTGAAAAGGTGGAGAGAATGAGCAAAAGAGTGGAAGACCCTCAATGAGATGGACTGACACATTGACTGCAGCAGTGGGTTCAAGTGTATCAGAGATGTTGAGAGGACAGGATTCAGATTTGTGGTTCATACGGTCACTATGAATTGTACTTGACAGCACGTAACAACAACATCAACTCTGCTATGATGGATACCACAAGTAGATGACTTTAACACACAGAAATTTATTATTTTACTATTTAGGAAGTCCCAAGTCTAAATTTAGGGCACTTGCGCTAGGAGAAGACTTGATTTATCTCAAGTAGCTTTGGAGAAAAGTCCTTGCTTCCTTTTAGTGTCAGAGTAGGCAGGTTTTCCTTGGAGATCTCCACATGTCCTGGCTATCGCATGTCAGGGTGCTTCCTTTTGGTGGGGCCTAGGTCCAAAAAAGAATGCACTCCTAGCAATTTTTTTTTTGTGGTGCTGAAGTTTTCTTAAGTCTATTCCTTCCCTCCCCACTCCTTATATCACTGTTTCTGTTATGCACTGTGGAGTTGGAACCAACCCATATTTGACCCTCCAGCTGGTTTTCAGAGACAGTTAATTACATGGGAGGAGACTGCCCAACTTTCTCCCAAAGAGCAACTGGTAAATTAGAACTGCATGCCTTTGAGTTATATCTCTGTTTTAAATTTTTTATTTTATTATTATTGTTAATAATTTTAATGATAATTTACAGAGATTTTGGATTTCCATTCATTCATCGTTGCACTTTTCTCCCTTCCCACCCCTCCCCCCAATTCACTCTTCTCTTTGAAAAGTAAAAGAAAAATTCTTTCATTGTTATACAATCAAGTCCACTCCACTATGCAGCCTTTGTTCTGGACTCCTGTCATGACAATAATACCTAATCATATATCCCTTTTAAACAGTTCTTTCCCTCCTCGGCTTCAATGCAGTAGACATAATATATCCTATCTTTCTCAGTCTCCCCTCCCACCCTCGACCCCGATGTCAGTCCAATTTTATAACAGTGGCACTATGCAGTATTTGTCCTTTTGTGACTGAGATATTTCACAGAGCATAATGTCCTCCAGGGTCACCCATTTTGAATAATATTTCCTGAGTTCCTTGTTTTTCAATGCAGTGCAGTATTCCATTGTGTGAATATACCACAGCTTCTCTATCCATTCATTTGTTGATGGGCACTTAGGTTGTTTCCAACTCCTTGCTATTTGTGAACAAAGCTGCATAAACATGGGTGTGCCTATATCTTCTTGGGTGGCAGTTCTGGTTTCTTTAGGGTATATTCCCAGTAGTGGAATTGCTGGGTCAAATGGTATTTCTATTTGCAACTTTTTAAGAAAGCACCATACTGCCTTCAGTAGTGGCTGCACCATTTTACACTCCCATCAACAGTGAATAAGGGTTCCAGTTTCTCCACAACCTCACCAGCATTTATTGTTTGCTGTTAAATTTTGCTATTCTTACTGGGGTGAGATGATATCTCATAGTTGTTTGGATGTGCATCTCTCTTAGAGCTAGGAATTTTGAACATTTCTTCGTGTGTTTGTTTGCCATCTGAATGTCTTCTTTGGTGAAAGTCTGTTCATATCCTGTGCCCATTTTTCAATTGGGTGTTTACCTTTATCTTGTGGTACTCAAGTATTTTATAAATTTTAGATATAAGTCCCTTATCTGACATGTCATTACCAAATACTTTTTCCTCTGTCTGTGGCTTCCCCTTTTACGCTGTTGGAGAAGTTTTTGGGTGTGTATAGGGATTGATTCTTAGAAGATCTCATTCGTCTATTTTATCCTCTCCTGGCTGTAGGTTTTTCAGTATGCTTGGAAGACTGTTGATGTTGTGGATTAGGACTTCTAGAGCTCTTCCAAGCTTCTCTCTAAAGAATTTTATAGTCCTTGGTTTTAGTCCTAGGTCCATGATCCACCTTGAATTGGTTTTTGTGTATGGAGTGAGGTGTGGATCTTGCTTGAGTTTTCTGCAGATAGTTTTCCAATTTTGCCAACACCATTTGTTAAAAAGGCTGTCATTTCCCCACTTAACTGATTTAATCTTCTTCTCAAAAATCAGTTGATCATAGCTCTGCTTTTATTGTTGTTGTTTTTGTTATGTGCCATTAAGTCTCTTGGGACTCAGTGCACCCTATGTACGACAGCTCTGAACCCTGTTCTTCCTTGAGCAATTTTTTGGGAAGGTGGGGGAGAATAAGCATATTATCAGTCTTTCTAGTTGTAAGACATTGGGTTTGAGGTATTTGCAGATGTTACCCAAAACTAAAAGTGTATGGCTTCTGTCGCAGCTTCCATTGGAGTGTTCTTGTTGTGGATGAAGCCCACAGGTTGAAGAACCAAAGCTCCCTGCTGCATAAGACATTGTCAGAGGTAAGTTCACTGGAGAGTTTTAATTTTTACATAATTCTCTTACAAGATACTGGTTTGGACCCAAGAGAAAGTCATTTAAATGGATTAAAACTTTTTTTCAGTCACATTGCTGCAAAACTAAATGAAAATTTTGTCAATGACAGAAGTAGTATTAATTTAACATGTTCTAGCTCTCCCTTCCCTTTTTGTTTTATATACGGGAAATAAAGTTTACTAAAATCTGGTAACAGAATGAGTAAAACTACCCAGTGAAATACATTAATACCTTAGTCTATATCCAGCCATATCCTTTGTGTGTTATGTATATACTCAAACATATACATGTATTTTATTTTAATGAAACTGTATACTATTTGAAATATCCACATGTATTATGTATGCTTGTATGAAGCTGTCCCTGGGTGACACCAGTGGTTAAGCACTCTACTACTAGCTAAAAGATGAGTGATTTAGACCCACCTGGAGGTGTCTTGGAAGACAGCCTGGCCATCTACTCCAGAAGCTCACAGCCGGAAGTCCTTAGAGAAGAGTCGCATGCTGCCCATGTCGCTCCCAGTTAGAATCAACTAGATAGAAACTGTCTACAGACAATCTACGTGTATTTAAAGTATTTTGTGTTTTGGGATCTAAATTTATACAAAGAATGCTTTCTCATTTTTTGTGTTAAACTCTAGGAATATACGTGCTTGTTAATATCACTTCAGAGGTGGTTCATTGTTTTCCTAACCTTTTACTTCATTAATTCCTTTGCTTGTTAAAAATTTTTAAAATTACTTTCCATTTTGAACTTTGTTTGCCCTATGTCCTGAAACATCCAGAAGTTACTCATGTCTTGTGTCTGATGTACTGTGAAACTTTACAGAAGGACGTTCCTTCAATATCTGTCTTCTTACTTGTAATGTTAGGCTTTGGATTTCCCAAAGTACATGCAGAGTGTCTCTGATCAGGGTGATACTCTACTGGAGTAGACACCTCCACATGGTCTGAATACCAGTAACAATATTGAGTACGCATGTAGTCCTTGAGAGTATACATAGTGAATTTGTTTACATCTTTGTTGTAGTCCTGAGAACATAATCTTTACAGAATTATTTCCCACTTAGTACTGAAACTCAAGACATCTTATTCCCCACAACCAATACTTAAAAGGAAATTTGGCTCATGTGTCTTGGTCATACCATTAAACTATGTCTCTCTTTGAATGGGACAAGGTTGAAATAAGTATCTGAGCCTTTCTTTTCCAGTGTTGTGGATTTTTCACGTTATTTATTTGAGTTCTCTGTAGTGTTCAATCTTCTGCTGACTGGAACTCCCATCCAGAACAACCTGCAAGAGCTCTACTCCCTCCTCAGTTTTGTGGAACCTGATGTTTTTCCTAAGGAGCAAGTGGAAGATTTTATTCGGCGTTATCATGACATTAAGAAAGAATCTGAGTCAGGCAAGTTTCTTTCCTATAAACCACCCAAGAGACCTGGACCTAGAAGCTTTCCTGGTGTGTAGGAGTTGTCGTTAGAAGAGTACTAAGAGGATCAATGACTGGGGAGATAAGAGCCACATGAATAAAAACACAAGGCCCGTTGTGTTCAGGTTGCCTGGTGTTCATGACTTTTAATTGTGTAAATGACTCTGCAATGGGGATAGTCATTTATTTTTTAGAAGATGCCTACAGATTTACAATTTTTTGTTTCATTATCAACCTGTAGTTTTTGTAAGGATTTTGTTAACTTTCCATCCCACTTGTGGTAGAAAGGATATGGGTAGAGTACTACCTAACTGCTGTTTAGCACTCTGAAGCCCTACTGTCTAGCATTGCATTAAAACCAGAAGTATGGGATGGGTGAAAAGTGGTCAGAAAGGAAGGAAGCTTTCCTCATGTACACAGCTGTAATTTGTCATTTTTTTTTCACCTCATTGCCAGTCCTTTCTCTGAATGATTTATCTTACCCCTGTGATAATACCCCATGATGATTATTTGAATTGTCTCTGGGACAGTTCATTGCAGAGGATCTACAGCAGTCATTTCAAAGAAATCTTTGCTGACTAGCACTTTGAGCAATCATTGCACTGACGTAGGGCTCAGAAATAGTGTGAAAATGGCAAACAGATGTCTGTGTCTTCTCTTACAGATAAAAATACCTTGCATTTATTTTTGTCATGTGTGTTGTATATTTTTTTTTTCCTACACAGCAAATGAATTACACAAACTCTTGCAGCCATTTCTGCTAAGGCGAATGAAAACAGAAGTAGCTACAGACCTTCCCAAGAAGACAGAAGTAGTGATATATCACGGCATGTCAGCACTGCAGAAGAAATACTACAAGGCCATTTTGATGAAAGACCTCGGTAATCAGAGGGTGGTGTTCCTATCAGAGCTCAGCAAGGTTGTGATTTTCATACCAGGAAATTTTTCTGTAACAGGTTCAGAGGATGAAATTTTATATTCTAAATAATTTTGAGGTCAGCTGTGATGAAAGTGACAGAGTAGTTTTAATGTAATGAAGACTTTGTTTTTCCTGTAATGGAATGTCTTTCTCCTATACAGTTATTCTTACTGCCTATAATGAAGTCCATGTCTCAATGTCCCTGTCCTGTTTTTCATACCTATCACTGTCAGTTATGTAACTGACTGTACAATCGCTTTGTTGGATCAGATTGATTAACTGAGGGGAGGGCGAGGAAGTGAGAGTGGGAAGGGAGAAGTGGAAATGGAATAACATCACAGTTTTCATTTTGCACTTTGTCTCTTAACCCCATGAAAACTGTTAAAGAAGGACATGTAGAATTTTGTTAGTTAAAGTATAGCACAGTAAACCTGAGTTCAATTTCTAGTTTAGACTTTCATCTTAAACTGTTGTTTAAGAAAATATCATATAAATAGGCTATTAATTTGCAAAGCAATTTCATGACATTTGGGTGGTTAATGAAGCTTTGAAAGATGCATTATTGAAATAAGTAATGGTGCTAATGGTTTGTGCTTGGCTGTGTTTGAACCCTTCTGACGATGCTGTGGAAGAAGATCTCGGACCTGCTTTTGTAAAAATTATGGTCAAGAAGACTGGATCTCAGTTCTCTTCTCTAAACCATGACCACTATGAGTCAGACACCACCTGATGGCAGTGGGTTTTAGTTTTATGTACAGAAACCTTATTGTTTTATTTTTGGTTTCATGCTCCAACTCTTTTTTTTTAAATTCCAGATGCCTTTGAAAATGAAACAGCAAAGAAAGTTAAACTTCAGAACATCTTGTCGCAGCTTCGAAAGTGTGTGGATCACCCATATTTGTTTGACGGTGAGGCAGTGCCCTCTTTTCCCACACAGTTTTTATTAACTACCTGTGTTGCCAACATCATAATAAAATTTCTCAAAAGAATTGCTTATATTTACTGTGTCTACTTAATTTCTTCTTGTGAATTTTTACATTGATAATATCTAATGAACATGCTGTTCCTTTCAAGTTGCTTTGCTTGATCCTAATATCCTTAATGACCTTGCTTTTACCTTTTTTTAAATTGGTTTGCTTACAAAGATCGTTATACATTGTGTTTCACGCTATTCTTCATTCATATTGTTTCATACCATCATTTTTATGCATTATGGTTTATAAAATTAATCACTATTGGACCTTGCCCATCATTACCTTGTCTTTTCACCCAGATCCTTCCCATTTGCTTCCTCCCTTCCCCCCACCAAACTCTGCAGCGCTGTGGTTTCGCCCCTAATCATTCTTATCCCTCCCCCCTTGAGTTTTCATACATGTTTTACTAGGAATCCTTTTACTGTTACAGTAATGGTCTTATGCAGTATTTGTCCTTACGAGACTGAGTTAGCTCACTCATCAAAATGCTCTCCAGCCTCTCCCAAGTTATGTAGTATTTTTCAAAATCATTGTTCCTGAGTGCTTCATAGTATTCCATTATGTGAATGTACCACAGTTTCTCAATCCATTTGGTTGTAGTTGGACTGTGCTTTTTTTGCTTATTGGTCTGTTTTTAACAAAAGATTCAATTGATTATAAATCATATCTTCTGTAATCTAGAAAAGCTCTTTACACTTTTATCCCTCTCCTCACTGTTTTAATGGCATTGATAATTTTGAAGTGTCAAGGTATATTGTTTTCTGAGTTGTCTTATAATCTAAATTTATCTTATCCTTTCTTTGTGATTAGGTCTCCCATTGTCTTGAACCCACTATAGTCCACCAGCTTCTCTTCCACACTTTTTCAAGTTGATCAGCAATTCTTTGTCTCTCAACCAATAATTATTTCTCAACTTACATTTCATTTAGCCTCTCAGAAGCCATTGACACAATTGATGACTCTTTTGGGAACAGTTTGTTCACTTAATTCCTACAACACTTTGTTTTGCTGCTGCCTTCTCAGTTTCCTTTGCTATTTTCTCCTCATTCAGACTTCCGTACATTTACTTTCTATACATTTACATATATGTTTTCATTTCTTCAGAATTTTATACATTTTCTCCATAAACAAGGGTTTGGTATATCCTATACATTTTGATTTGTAATGTTTTCATTTATGCTGAGTATTTTTTGATTCCTTCTGACTGATGGCGCTTGAGGAAGTTTGAGAACTTCTGTGGACCCGAAGGTTATCTATTGAGTAGGATCTGGAATCTTATAGGACAGTTCAGTGTGGAGGATCTGCTATAGTAATTCTAAGGGCATCTTTGTCAAGCATCATTATGGACTGTTTTAAAATTTCACAGCATTTTCATGAGGTGCATAACATTTTGAGGGGAAAAGAGGTTGCAAATAGATAGATTTTGAAAGAAAGCTCCCATCTTACTTTTAATTGCCACTTCCCACAGAAAATTAATGATTTATACGTTTGCAATGGAAGCAGGAGTGCCATTCACTTCCTAAATAACATGCCTCTGAAAACTTTACGAATTTTGATAAATGTTGATAGTTGTAGAGGGGCTTCAGGCCTTTTGTTCATAGGGTCGCTTTGAGTCTTGCTCGACTCGGAGGCAGTCAACAACAATAATAATATATTTGCATTTACTTCTTGATTTAATTTTCTGCAATGAGAGGCTTAAGACTTTTGTTTTGCATTTCTATACCCTTTAGGGAGCTGTGGTAGCCTGGTGGATAGGGAGTTAAACTGCCAGTCTAGAGGCAGGCAGTTTGAATTCACTAGATGCTTTGAAGGAGATAGACAATTTTCTTCTTTGTGATTTATAACCTCTGAAATTCCACAAGAATGTCAGCTGTGCATCACTTTTTACTTGATAGCAGTGAATTGAGTTGAATTTGTTCTTTGGATCTCCTTTGTCTTGCTGCTGTTGTTATTATTTGCCACCGAGTTGGTACTGACTCATAGTGACCATCAGCAAATTTTCAGAGGCAGTTAGTCATTGCAAATAAGGTGATTGCCCACCTTTCTTCTGCAGAGCAGCTGGTGGGTTCAAGCTTCATGCTTTCTGGATTGCAGTACAGCTTCCTAACCTTAGGCCACCAGAGCTCCCAACCTTCTTCTTGTTGTTATGTGCCATTGAGTTGCTTGCAACTCATAGCGACCCTGTGTATCCTGTGCCAATCTTACTATCTCCAACAAACCTAACTCTCCAACCTTAGTTTCTTGTAAGTCGGGCTTGGTCTTCATGTAGACTTTATTAGGCATCTTGAATATGCCAAGTTCTGTCATTGGGATTAAGTATCAAAAATTACCATGCAAACAATGATAAAATGGCCGAGAGAGAGAGAGTAGACTTGGAGCTAATATTAATTAGAAGGAGCATGACTCCTGTGACCTGGCCATCAGCTTCTCTGCTCAAGCACTGTGTGTTGACTAAGGACATGTTGTTGAGTAGGGGTGCTTTGTTTTCTAGGTGTTGAGCCAGAGCCTTTTGAAATTGGAGATCACCTGATTGATGCCAGTGGGAAGCTTCACCTGCTGGATAAGTTGCTGGCATTCCTGTACTCTAGGTAGGTAGTAGGTTTGCTATTCTGAGATGCTGACAATTAAGACTTTAATAATGACGAACTCACTGACTTCTTTGGGACTGGTTTCAGGTCTCCATTTTTTCAAAACCCCAGGTCAGATTTACCTTCAGAGAACTCCGTAACGACCTTCTCACATCACACCAGCCTCTCTGCAATCATCTACAGCCATCCTTTCCCTTCCTGAATTCTGTAGGCACAGTCCCTCCACCATCTTTCTTTCCTTTAGTGAATTCTGTAAGCACTTAGAATCTGAATTCAGCTGTTGGCAGTGCACTACTTTGATCTGCTGCCAGGTTAATTGGTATATATTAACTATATGGCTCCAGCTGTATTGTTTGTCCCACACGACAGATAAATATTGAATATTCTATGATTGCCTGCTGGTACTGCAAATAGTAAGGGTTTGGTAAATATTCATTTTTGTTAACCTGTAGGATTTGATATGAACTCAGGGTGACTGTTCCCAAGAGACGGGGGTTGGAGCCTCTAGGATTCACGTGCATTCAGGGCATGTCTTACAGCCTGTACCCAAGGCAGGCACTCCACGGGGACAGGAGAGTCTAGAAAAAGGACAGCTTTTTAGGATTTCTGATATGTCCTATAGTGATACTTAGCCCAGGCACAGCCTGAATTAACCTAAAATATCAGATTTAAACTTAATTTAAATCTATTAAACTTAAGAATGCGAAAGTTAAACAGTTACTTGCCCTACTTTATTGAATCTGATGTAGCCACTATAAGTGTATAGAGTTAGAGAAGGATCCATAAATGCTTTCTGTCCAACATTTTTATTTCACAGGTGATGAAACAAGTGTAGAAGGGTTAAGTGACTTTTTCAAAGGCATGCCTTTCAGTAAATGACAAATGTGATTAGAATTGAGATCCTGAGCTTCAAGTGTAGTAGGGTTTCAACTCCATTTGAGATTAAAACCAGAAGGGATTATCTATTAAGTTAGTCTTCTTAGTGAGACTATAGTACTGACCATTCATGCTTTAAATTTATGTAAACGTAAAACAGTGGCTAATATATGGGACTCTAAAGAGCGCTCTGTTGGCCTGGTGGATAAAAAGTGATGCTACCAAGCCAAAGGTGGGTGATTTTTAATCTGCGGCCCTCAGGCCTGGTTTTAATTTTTTTTGGTCAAACATTTTCTAAGTGGTATAGCACTGGTCTGTCCATTTCCTGTACAGAGGTAACTCGTGGGTGCTGTCATGCTAAACACTATAACACTAATGTGTCAAATGTGATAATAGTTACCCATGATGGACAGTGTTTGGTGGAGCTCCCCTATTAAAACAAGCTAGGAAGCAGGAGTGGCATCTACTTCTGAAATAGCTTGCCTCCGGAAACTCTATAACTTTGAGCAACGATGAAATTTATATAGGTGTTCAGGTCTTTCATTCATAGGGTCACTATGAGTCGTCTATGACTCGAAACACTTAACAAAACAACAGCAACTTGGCTCTGTTCAAGCTGACTTAATCTATCATCATGCTTGCTCCCTGTGCACAATTTTTCAGGTGTCAAATTGGATGTGAGATGCCACTTACCTCTTCTCCGGAGGCTTTCTTTTCAGACATATCAGTTTGTCTCTAGAAAATAACACTACATGGCTGGCCAGAAACTTTTCAAGTTTGCCAGTGTTTTTGTGTATTTGAACTTTCCACTTAATATTCACATATCTATGTTTATATTATTCTTAAAATGAAAGTTTTTCTTTCCATTGAGTAAACGGACATTCCCAAAAGAAGCTCTTTGGTTCCCCAAGGACTTCTTAAACCCCCGGCACCTGACACTCACCCCAGGACACTCACCCGTTTGTCTCCATTCTCATTTGAGAGCTCCTGCTCTGAAGAATTCTGACAACAGGTGGTGGTATGTCCTTGTAAAAGCATTTAGTGTTTCTGAGAAACTCTCTGTACATGATTGTTACATTTATATTTCTGCTTTAGTGTTTCATATCTTTGTAATCTTATATTCCATGGTAAGTTTTGCCTGAGGGAAACCCTCCTTTTAAACATTACTAGAATTGGCACTTTCTCTTTTTCTTTTTATACCAGGGGCCATAGAGTTTTACTTTTCTCCCAGATGACCCAGATGTTGGATATTCTCCAGGATTACATGGATTACAGAGGTGATACCTTTTTGCCAATACATTGTACAGGTCTTTTAGATTTACAGTTCCTGTAGGGTCATAAACAGTTACCTGGGGCATGGGGATGTTACAGAGGGTAACAGTGAAGAATCATCATCATCATAAACAGAAGAAGGTCAAAAGTAAAGGAGAGAGAAATGTCTAGGCAAGGATTGGCAGTTGGATAGAGCCACTTGGGCAGGAAAAATACCACACTATTCCCATCAGTAGTATGATGGGCATTTGGTCAAATGTTTTAGAATAGATCCTTGAATATTTTTGAAATGCATGAAAAACAGTGATCATTCAATTCAACATTTGAACTCTTATGCAGGTGGTGGTGGTTGTTGTTATGTGCCAATGAGTTGCCTGTGACTCATAGCGACCCTATGTACAGCAGCCCTAAACTCTGCTCTATCCTGTGCCAATTGCACCGTCTCTGACACTCCCATCCCAATTACCCCAGTCATTGAATCAATCCACCTCATAGAGGGTCTTCCTTTCTTGCACAGGAGCAGTAGAAAAGAAAAAGATTAAAATTGTAGAACTCATACATACCAACCAAGGGAAATGTAAGGATAGGCTTTTGTATGTAGAAAACAGAGAATGTAGATACTGTGTGAGAATGCTGCTTAATAGGTAATAAATTTATGTGAGATTATAGGAAAAGACTATAACCTTGATTGATCTTGAGCCCAAAAGAGAAAACATTGCAACTCTGACCTGACTACTTAAAAAACTTAATCTAGAGTCTTTTAAAAAATTATTTTATTTTTGTGTGTGTGTGTGTACCATCAAATCAGATCTGACTGGCACAGGAGGAGATTGCCCCTTCTTCCCCGGCAGAGCATCTGGTGGATTCAAACCACGTGCCTCTGGGATTGCAGTGCAGCTTCTTGCCACTTAGGCCACCAGAGCTCCCTTTAGAGATTCTTTTAGTCCAGTCAGTTCCCTTAAGTACTACATTACACTGTAGACACTAGTAGGAAATGCCCAATGACTCTTTGAAGAATTCCAGATTCACAAGCACAGTTTGAGCACATCACTCTCCATGGGTCCATGGTGACAGGTGGAGATCCCTAAAGCTTCACTGAAAAGGCATGCTGGACCATAGTCACCTGCTTCTAGGTATTTGTCCTATTACTTGCATAAATGAGAATGGTTCTTAACAAAAGTAGAAACTACTATATAATGTGACATTCAGAATTGCTTAGAATAATGAAATCAGAATATTAACTCCATGAGTGCGTAGCACATTAACTGCATGAATTTAAAAAAACCTAGAGATCTTTTGAAAAGCAATAATTTGTCTCCCTCAATTTGGACTTTTGCTTCTGATATTTGTTTAACATAGAGTCGTGGTTGTATGTGCAAAGGGATAAAATTGACTCTCTAGTTTTGGGCTGGTTTGATTTTTTTCCCCTCCAAACAGTACATGGACAAGAATAAGATTTCTGTTTTCTTCCACTCTGTAAAGGCTACAGCTATGAGCGTGTGGATGGCTCCGTGAGAGGAGAAGAGAGACACTTGGCGATCAAGAACTTTGGACAGCAGCCCATTTTTATTTTCCTTCTGAGTACCAGGGCAGGTAGGCCACATTGACTAACGCAGACCAATACCAGTGATTCACTAGTCCTTTTATTAGTCATTACCAAAGGGTGCAAGGAAAGAGAAACTGAGGTTGTGGAAGTACATTTGCCAGTCTTAGACTTCTAGTGTGATACTATTTCTTCTATAGCCTGAGACATCGTTAAGTCAGAAAGTAAAGCTGAGACTTAGAAAAAAAGTTATTACTAAAAAGTAATTCTAATATTCTTTAGCTGCAGAGTTTGGGGTTATCCTGAGAGATACCTGTAATTTTGGGAAAGCATCATTCCCTTTCCTGGAGATAGCTCTCCTTCCCAACTGAATTGGGGAAATAATAACCTGACTGCTCATTGCTCTTCCTCCAAAAATACCTGTGGAATAATATAGTTGTAAATACTTAACAAAAATCTAGCAAAAAAAGTGCTTAATAAAAATCTTTTTTTAAAATCACATTTAAAAAAATATGATTTGTTATAAAACTTCTGGCTCTGGGTTTATTTATGGAACCAACTTTATGTGACTTGAGTCATAAATACTATATACTACATTTGTACTGCTTTACCAGTTACAGAAAAAACAAACCCACCACCTCATTTCAATCAAATTGGAACCTACTCATAGCTGACCCTCCAGTGGGTTTTCTGAGGCTATAACTCACACGAGAAGAGATTCTGTCTTTCTCAACAGGAGCCACTGTTGAATTCCAGCCACCAAGGGGGCGCCACCTTTGATATACCAACACCACACCTACTGGTTACAGAACACTTTCATATTTACTATTATATAATCTGAAAGCATTGTTGTTTGGTTGGGTACCCTAGAGCCGGAACCGACCCAGAGCTGATCCTCCTCCATCGAGTTTTCAGAGGCAGTTCACACAGGAAGAGATTGCCCAGCCTCCTGCGGAGCAGCTGTGTTTGAACCGCGTGGCTTTAGGGTTGCAGCACAGCTTTTTACCACTAGTCTACCAGGACTCCCTGAAATAAATTCTTAGAGATGAAATTTTTCTCTTACGCACATGTTCTGAAGCAAGATGGCCTTTAATTAATTTTGAACTCACATAATCTTAGTCTTACTAGAAACCAGATTAGTGCAGATGCATCTTTCACAATGGGAAGACAGTTTCTATTTATGCTTTTACTGACTTCAGCATCTTCATATATAGAGGTCAGTGTTATATCTGAAATGGGCATAATTAAGAAGAAAGCGAGATCTATTTTTCAGCTCATCTCATGAGTCACTGTGAATCAGTCCCAACAGAGTAGATCTTTTAGGAGCCGAACCCAACCTGCATTTTAGCTGTTTGAAAACTCTGTCCTGCTTGCTCTCCCCTTTTAGTTCTGCAGCCTACTTCAAGTATTTCTGTGATTAAGTCATATAGCCACCAGGTGGCAGTGAAGACACATAAGACTGTCCCAAACGCAAGTCATTAGCTTCTTGATAAAAAGAAACCCCTTTAATTAAGAATTAACTAATTAAGGAGAGATCCACTTGGACAGTCTTAACTCAAGCGGAAGATAATTTTATGGAACATTTTATTGAGCTAAATGCCTGGGAAATAGTTGTGTAGTGGATGAAAGCACAGACTTTGGAGGCTGACCCTGTGGGGCTGATGCTTAGCTCCTTGTTTTCCAGCTGCATAACCTCAGATAACCACCTTTCCTTCCTTTTTAACATCTATAAAATGGGTATAATGGTAATAACTACTTACAGAATTGTCATGAAAGTTAAAGGAGTTAATACATGTCAAGTGCCTGCACGTCATAAGCACAGTGTTAGGTTAGGTGCTGTTATTAGGAAGCTCCGACGGTTTAGTCAATAGAGAGAGTGCTACCAGCCCATGGGGCACCTCTCTGGTGGTTTGAATCCACCTGGGGCTCCTCGAGGTAAAAATGGGCAATACATTCATTTACATGTACGTTGACATGCCATTATAAGCTCGCAAAACCTAGTAGAGCTTTGGAGCTTTGAGTTGGTTCCAACTCACCAGCAGGGAGTGTAAAGTTTATTTTTTAATTGTTACCGTGTATAATTCGTTTCTCAGTAATTGGTCTCTATTATTATTCCGACTTTCAATTTCTATGAAGGCTTTAAGGAAAATGCTCCTGCCTGGCTTATCTGGAGATCTAGCTTAGAGTCAGTGGTGCTCCTTCTCAAAAGTGAATCCTTAATTCAGGCACTTGGCACACATCCTCTCAGGGTTGCTTGTTTCAGCACTGAGCTCAAACCACTCTGGCACGAGAGAGTCCGTTCTGTACTTGTTTCCACATTAATCAAAAAGAAGGCTGTAATTTGCCTTTATAGTTCTCTTAATTAATTCCTGTAGTCCAGGGTGCTGCCATGGCCCTTTTTCTGCAGCATTGAAGACAGACCAAAAAGTTCTTCCCCGGAACGTTTTTGCCTCGCCATTGCTTTTGTTAACTTCCTCTTTGATTAATGTGGAAACGGGTACAGTGAGAGCGCAGTAGTTTCTCTGATGAGAGAAGTCATTTCCCACTCTGCTTAGAAGAAATATATTGTCCCCTTTTCTCATTAAAAGGAGCCCTCTTGAAACTGGTTAAGTGCTTAGCTGCTGAGTGATCAGCAGTTCAAACCCACAGGCCACTTAGAGGGAGAAAGCGGTGGAGTCACTTCCCCCTGGGTGTCCCTGCTCCTTCCTGCAGGGTCTCTGGAAGTCAGAATCAAAAGGCAGTATTGTATCAAGGATCTTGTCACTTAGTGTTAACTTGAAATTGACATTTAGAACTCTACTTTTAGCAGTGACCATGGTAGAATTTTCTTATGTTTAGAGCTGTTTTCAAGAGCATGTGTCTAATTCCATGCTGCAATCATGAAGGCACATGGTTTGAAGTCACCATCTGCTTCGCAGGAGAAGGATGAGCAGTCTCCTCCCATGCAATTAACTACCTCTGAAAACCCTGGAAAACCCTCTGAAAACAGGAGGGTCAGCTATGGGTCGCTTCCGACTCGACAACAGCTGTAAACAAACAAAAAATGGAAGTTTCAAAACAGAAAAGATTGAAAATGTTTTCTTAGATTAATATAAGTTTCCACTTCTGCTATACCACTTAAAAATGCTGAGCGAAGAGGAAGGTCAGAGAAGAAAAAAAGACCCTCAACACAGTGCATTGATACGGTGACTGTAGCAATGGGCTCAAGTGTGTTTTGGATAGTGTGAGTAGCATAGGATAGGGCAAAGTTCAGATCTGTTTTTCATAGAATTGTTGTGAGTCATAGAGAGAGCTCTGTTGGCTTAGTGGATAGAAAGTGATGCTACCAAGCCAGAAGTGGGTGATTTTAATCTGCGGGCCTCAGGCCTGGTTTTAATTGGTTTTGGTCAAACATTTTTTGGAGACAGTGCGATTGGCACAGGACAGAACAGAGTTTAGAGCTGTTGTACATAGGGTCGCTATGAGTCTCAAGTGACTCGACGGCACACAACAACAACAACAACATAGCACTGATCTGTCCATTTACTGTGCAGAGGTAATCTGTGGTTGCTGTGATGCTGAACACTGACACTAATGTGTCACATGCGATAATGGTTACCCATGGTGGACAGTGTTTGGTGGAGCTCCCCAGTTAAAACAAGCTTGGAAGCAGGAGTGGCATGCACTTCCAAAACGGCTCACTTTCGGAAACTCTATGAACTTAGAGAAGCGATGAAAGTTATACAAAGTGTTCATGTCTTTTGTTCATAGTGTTGCTGTGAAGATTTAAAATTTCCCATGTGTGGCATCAGCTTTGGCCCAGATAGGACTCTTAATCATGATCAGATTCTGGAGTTAAGGTGTGAGGTTGTCTAAAGGATTAAGTCAGTTGTTTTGGCTTATTTCTGTTTACTAGTCTGGCCTTCACTTCCCTTGTCTCTTTATGTTCCACTTCCCTTTGTGCTACTGATCACTTCCTCTTTGCATTTTTTTCAGGTGGAGTTGGCATGAATTTAACTGCAGCAGATACTGTTATTTTTGTTGACAGTGATTTTAATCCTCAGAATGACTTACAAGCTGCTGCCAGGGCTCACCGAATTGGCCAGAACAAGTAAGAGACTTTTGCATCAGCACTTTTCTGCGTTCTTAACTTGCTTGTCAGTGATTCTGGGGAATGGAGAGGAAGGGGAAGAATGTCATTCAAGTGACCACTTCAGAATGGAGTCTCTAGGCCTTGCCTGTAGCCTTTATCCCTGCTGTGCCATGTTGGTGGGTCACTTTACTGGACCAAATTTCCTTGTTAAAAATGGCAAAGTCAGCTTATGAAATTATTAGAAAGAGCCCCAAGAAATTATTTAACTCATCCTTCTTGGTACAAAATGTGGTTATGAGGTGTTGGTGCTAAGCTAAAAATGCAGGAATATTCTCCCTTGACCTGAGAATAATTTATATCCAGAAGGGTTTTTTCTTCTACCGTAGGTAAGGGATACTAGTCATGACCATCTCTTTAATCATTCCATAGATCTTTGGGAATGTTGAGAGAGAATTTGAGGCTAGATCTCTCACAAAAAATTCTGGTCCAAATAAAATAATCTTCTTTTAAGGTAGCCTGAATAGGGCATGTTGGCTCTGTTTCCTTTTTTTATCTTGTATGCTATTGCCCAGTTTTTCAGAGCTCTCAATTAACTCTTGCACAGGTCTGTTAAAGTTATTCGGCTGATTGCCCGAGATACTGTGGAAGAAATAGTCTGCAGGAAAGCAGCTTCCAAACTGCAGCTTACCAACATGGTCATAGAAGGAGGCCATTTCACTCTGGGAGCCCCAAGACCCTCGGCCAGTCCGGACCTCCAGGTAGAATGCATTACTCTTCACGTGACGATATGGCAGGATTTCTAGCCAGCGTTCTCTAGATGAGAGTGTGTGTGAGCCACTTATTCTCCCAGCTAAACATTTTCCCCCTGGCCACGTTCACCTGTGCCTTAGAGCCTGTAGCTTTCAGGAAGTTGTGAATGAACGTGACATGTAATAGGAGCAGAATATAGAAGAGTTGAGCGTGGGCTGTGGAAACACATAACTGTGATTTGCTTTTGGTAAATCTTTGAGGTTTGGGATTTTGAAGTCCTAAAACAAGAAAGTAGACACATTCATTGTCTTCTAGGCAGAAGACAGTAGAAGCAGAGAAACAGAAATGTAGATAGAGTGGTGAGCACTTTATTGAGTGCTTACATCTGCAAAGTATTATCAAAGGTGGATTTTTCCAGTCATTTGGGTGAATATGAGCAACAGGATGAAGTAGATATTATTTTAGTTCCAATTTGAATAACCAAAGGTTGATACAGATTTAGGACTCAAGGTAATCTCTTTACCCCAAAGGGCACATGTCATTACTACAATGTATTGCATCTCATAAGAACAGTTCCTTACCAGGTTCCTTATTAATCACAAGTGAGCAATAATGAAGAATCAAGAAGCAAATTTAACCCCAAGGTGAGTTGAAGAAAGGGCCCCCAGATGAATGAATCCTGATCATAGTTATTTTTCTTCTATTGTTGATGTCATTTACCAAAGCCAGGCATTTTTGTTATATATACCAAGGTTAAAGTGAGCCGAGATTTTTGCAAGCTGCTCTAGACTACCATAAGATTTCCTAGTTATTCACAAAATAAACAGTTTGGAAATAATTGACTAAATCTAAAAAGGGCAAGATGAGAACCAGGAGCCATGCTTTGAAGCAATGTGGTTCCACATCTCAGAGTTAATATTCAGGGTGGTGCGAAATTGAAACTAAGAAACCTACAGTCAGGAAGAAATATCTAGGCTCTTTAGTTGGTTCCTGTGACTACATGGAATAGGCTCAGCATGTATTAGAGAGAAATCATAGAAGAAAAATAAACAGGATGGTGTAGCAGTGAAAGGATGTCCAGGAAGATAAGAAATGAGAAGGAACCTGGGGGCTCATGATCAAGACTGGTCTTTGCAAAGATGTTTTCCGCAGAGCGTTGTCATAAGAAGACTCCATACAGCTATGGGAAAGAAATCAGTGAATAGTGGAGATAAAATACCCAGACCTTCCCTTTCCAAGACCGTGAGAGAGTAGCTAATAGTCTAATGTTTCATGTACCTGTTAAGAGTACCTGTGAATAGAGTCTGTGAGAGGTGCTGTAGAAGGAAGATGCAGGATCAGAGATGAAAAAGAGACAGGGAAATTATATTAATGTAACCAAAACAACCAGAACAGAAATAAGGAGACTGGTCATTCATTGTGAAGAATCTAAGTGATGTCACTTGACAATCATGTAGAAATTGTTGACTGGGAACCTGAACTGATATGTAAACCTTCACCAAAAGTAGGATATTTTAAAGAAAAGACAAAAATTGCTGTTATTCTTCAAAAACTTAGAGGCTCAAACTTTTTTTGTTTTGTTTTTTGTCATGAGCATTGCCAAAATCAACCACTCTGATCCTCATTTGTCGCCTCTGCTTACCGGTCATTTAGCTGTTAAATGACCCTGCCAGAACATTCTACAGAGAGAATGAGGAAAGGCCACTTGCCATGGAAGTAAAGTGCCTGGTGTAATGAGGCCACTTAGCAAATCATTGATAGGCCAGTGTTTGTTTTCATAAGAACTAACTGAACTTTCTGTTTTCTGCATTCAAGTTGAGTGAGATTCTCAAATTTGGTTTGGATAAACTGTTGTCCTCTGAGGGGAGCACCATGCCTGAAATAGACTTGGAGTCAATCTTGGGAGAAACAAAAGATGGCCAGTGGATCTCAGATACCTTGTCTGCAGCAAAAGAAGGAAGCAGGGAGCAAGAGGAAGAAAGTAAGTTCAACTGAGAGCAGATGAAATGGTATAGTCACCAGGGCAGTCCCTGAAAATTCACGTTCCCTGAGACATCAGTTTCTGCTCCGATATTCTCCATTTGCGCATGACTGCTTAAGACTTGCCTGGTCTCAGAACTTTCCCCAGATTAACTAGGAATTAATCGTGCTGTTCCTTTGAAGCTGAACTTTGAACCAAATTAGTTACATGAATATTCATAAGAGGTAGCAGCAGTCTCATGGAGTTTAGTGTATATTTTTCTTCTAATTGTAAGCATCCTCACTGCATTAGTGCAGATCCTACTTTCCTTAGTCTGGAACGCTGTCCCTTTTTTAATAACAGAATGAGTTCTTTTTAATAACTCCTGACATACACTGAATGTTTGCTGTGATGCAGGTTTGGCATGTCATAATTGCACATATGAAATAGAGATGGAGAGGGAAGAAGCAGGGAAAATGAATAGAAGAGTGAGGGTAGACTGAACTAGGTCCTCTGGGAAGCAAGGTGGTGTGGTGAGGAGTAATCCTCCATGATGAACCTTCAGGTTTCTGAGGCTGTAGACTTAATGAGAGGAGATGGGCCAACTTTTTCCCACGGAGATGCTGCTGGATTTGAACCACCGTTTCAGTATTTACTTGAATGTCATTGTGTACTTGTTAATCACAGCACCAACATTTTTCATGATATTAGTAATTGCTAAGAGCTGTGACCTCTTGTCACATGTTGAAGAATACTTTTAGTATATATCACTTCTGTTTTCCTGGAAATATTCTTCCTAGAGCTCTCTGGTCTCACTGGTCACTAGACAAGTACTGGCTTGAGGCTTCTTTTTCATGGCTCTGGTGGAGTTGTCCCTGCGGCCTTGCGCTGCTAACCTCTCTGGTGTTTGGAATCCATCAACAGCTCCTTGGGAAAAAGATGGCCAATCTCCTCCCCTGCATTTTACAGCCTTCAAAACCTGCTGGAGGGTCATCTGTGAGACAGTTCCAACTCAGTCACCTTGAGTTTTAATGAGTTTCTTTCATGAGGAAATTTGTATTTTGCTAGATTTGAACTCAACACTACATCCTTGACAGTCTTTTCTCTTCAGTTATCATTTTGACCACATCAAACTTTCTTTCAGAGATAATTTTCTTTCTCTTTTATCTCTGGCTTCCTCCAAACTTACAGATGCTGGAAAAAATGTACAGGCCTAGATGGAGGGGAATATATATTATATATAATTTTATACAGGTGTGGCATCCACTTCCTAAACAACATGCCTCCAGAAAGTCTATGAACTTTGATAAATGTCGATAGTTGTAGAAGGGCTTCGGGCCTTTTGTTCATAGGGTCACTATGAGTTGTACTTGACTCGAAGGCCATCAACAACAACAACATTATATATATAAATATATATAAAAAATAAATAATATAATAATATAGATAATAAATAATATATATAGAGAGAGAAACAGTGATTCATTGTGTACATCTAAAACTAAGCCTTCATCTCTAATTTTTTTACTTCTTGGAACTATTTCAGACTCAAATCTGTACTCCCTTGTATTGTAGTCGTAATGATTTTCTGATTGACTCTGCATCCCTCAGGTTCTAATTGCCAAAGTATATTTATTAGGCTGACATTAAGCTCTCATGGCTTAGTGGCAAGGAGTTGAGCACTGCCAACCCAAAGGCACACAGTTTGAATCCACCAGCTGCTCTTTAGAAGAAAGATAGGTCTTTCCAATTGACTGCATCTGAAAACCTGGACAGTCAGCTATGAGTTGTGTCTGACTTGACAGAACAAAACAATAACAGCTGTCAGTTTTGTGGAAAATGGATTTTTCCTTTCCTGACAGTTTTCCAACTTAATACAAGTCATGACTTTTGTAAGTTTTAGAATAAGGAGTTTGTTAGAGAAGTAACAGGTAAGAACTCAGGTCAGAAACACTCAGGATGCAATTCATCAACCAAAACAGCTTCTTCTCAGACATGCTTTTAGGAAGGCCTTTCTCTCACCTTTAATTCTGCCAAATATATGTTCACCAATTGAATATACTTAATTCAGATCTCAAGTTGCAATACTTAAGGATGCTTTGGGCAGAATATTAAATGATGCAGGAAGCATGAAAAGAAGATGGAAAAAGTATACAGAGTCATTGAACCTAAGGAATTGGTGGACATAGAAGAATTTTATGAAACAACGTATGAGCAAGAGCCTGTGGTGATGAAAGAGGAAGTTTAAGCAGCTCTGAAAGAATTGGCAAAAAAAAAAAGCCCCAGGAATTTGTGGCATACTGATTGCCATATTTCAACAGATGATGCCCTGGATGTGCTCACCAAGTTGTGCCAAGAAATCTGGAGGACAACCACCTGGCCTAGTGACTGGAAGAGATCTGTTCCCATTCCAAAGAAAGGTGACCCGACAGAGTGTGGAAATTATTGAACAATATCATTAATATCCCATGCAAGCAAGATTCTGCTGAAGATCATCCAAAAACAACTGGAACAGCACATCAGCCTGAAGTGCAGGCTGGATTTAGAAGAGGCTGTGGCACTAGGCATATTATAACTAATGTCAGATGGATTTTGGCTGAAAGTAGAGAGTACCAGAGGAATGTCTATCTGTGTTTTGTTGACTATGCAAAGGCATTTGACTGTGTGGATCACAACAAACTGTGGTTGACTCTGAAAAGAATGGAAATCCCAGAACACTTGATAGTGCATATGTGAAACTTACACTTGGACCAGGAGGCAGTTGTCAGAACAGAGCAAGGAAACACTGCATGGTTCAAAATTGGGAAGGTGTGTGTCAAGGATGTGTCCTATCTCCATATCTTTTCAATTTATATGTAACAGATTATCCGGGAGGCTGGACTCTATGAGGAGGAGTGTGGCATTAGGATTGAAGGTAGACTCATCAACTCTCTGCATTAAGCAGGTGATACAACCCTGCTTGCTGAAGCTGAGGAATACCTGAAGCGTTTGCTGCCGAAGGTCAAGGACTGCAGCCTTCAATGTGAATTGAAGCTCAACATCGAGAAAACAAAGATTCTCACCACTGGGCCAATTGGTAGCTTCATGATAGATGGTGAAGAGATTAGATTGTTGAGAGCTTCTGTTTGCTTGGCTCTATAATCAACACTCATGGTACCAACAGCCAGGAAATTAAAAGATGAATTGCACTGGGAAAGGCTACTGTCAGAGACCTTTCCAAGGTACTGAGAAGCAACAGTGTTAATCTGGAGACTAAGGTGCGCCTGATACAGGCCATGGTCTTTGCCATTGCTTGTTATACGTCAGAGAGCTGGACAGTGACTAGGGATGATAGAAGGAGAGTTGATGTCTTTGAGCTTTGTGCTGGAGAAGAGTGTTGAATATACCATGGACTGCTAGAGGAGCAAACAAGTTTGTCCTAGAGAGAGTGAAGCCAGGCTGCTCCTTGGAGGCAAGGATTCGGAGGCTTCATTTGACTTACTTTGGACATGTCACAAGGTGGGATCATTCCTTGGAGAGGGACATCATGCTTGGGAGGGTGGAGGGACAATGCAGGAGAGAAAGACCCTCGATGAGATGGATTGATTCAGTCACTGGGGTAATGTGGATAGGTTTGTCAGAGAGACAGTAAGATTGGCAAGAGACAGAACAGGGTTTAGGGCTGTTGTACATAGGGTTGCTATGAGGTGCAAGCAACTCGATGGCACAAAGCAACACAATAGCAATTATAAATCTAGACAAAACAATGAGTATAAAGAAATAGCATGTAAATTATGTCTGTTCTGATAAATCTTGTGTATTTTACTATTTGTGTCCTGTACACACATGCACATATACATAGACACCTTAACCTCTTCTCTGTCTCACACTGGTCAGGTTCTTAGCTGCCTCTGCTGCTGTTGTGTCTCGGTCTTGCTCCTTGTCAGGCAGGAATCTGTCCTAACGGGTATGCTGTCCTTTCTTGTATTTTATGTTTAACATTTTTCATTTTTATTTTTATTTTCATTTTTATCCTCCAGAAGATCTTTCCTTTCCTCTGTTTCTTATGTGTTAATTGTATTTGTGTGTGTAAGTCTTAGGCGTGTAGGGTGTTGAGAGTGTCCCTGCGTCATCATTACCCCTCTGACAGGTTTGTATTCCTGCATTGCTCTACTTCATCTGTCATTATCCTTTCAGCCGTTTTCCATTTTCCAAAGAGTTATTGAACTTTTCCATCCACTTGTTGCCCACTTATCTTTTATTTCTATATCCTTGAACTGCTATTTAATGGCTTTAAGAAGAAAGAGAGGAATTACTTAGTTGCATTTTTAAGTTGTACTTTGATTATATTAAATAATAAAACTTTCAGCTACTTTTATAGCCCTCTAGATTAATTTCACCTTATTTTCCAAATGTTTATTAGAACAAAATAAAATCTCACTGTTTTCCAGAAAGATAATTATATTTTCTCAGTCAGTTCAGCTGCCAAAAAAAAAATGTTTATCAGACAGAAAATATTTCCTAGTTGTATCAAAATTTAGATTTTTTGCCTTTTATGAATGCACACAGAGATGATCTCATGCATGGTTCCACTGTCAGGGTGCAGGTAGGAACCTAGACTAATGGTCTACTTACTTTTTCTTGGCTACACATGAATACAGAGAGCACAATGTAAATCTATATAAAAGACTAATAATTAAAGTAACCCTAACTCGAATTAAATAAAACAGAGAGCTGCTTTATCTTGAGTGTCAGGGGTGTGTGTTTGTTTTTTAAGAAAGCACGTTTGTAAGTTGAGAATTGCATTCATTGTGAAGCCACATATGTTGATCATATTTGACACTTCTCAGCTCTTTATTTTTTTTTCCACTTGTTGATAGAGCACCTCATTGAAAGCCCCCTGCTGATTTAATTAGCAAATGCCAATTAGAATTACAGCTGGTTGGTTTGGGGTACAATTGTGAAGCAATTGATCTCTGGAGAATGAAAATGTTTTGCTTTCATTCTCTCTAGGGAAAACATAGAGCTGATTTCAGTAATGTAAAATACGTTGTTTTGATGAAATGTGCTATTAGATGTGCTTCACTTTAAAAACACTTTTTCTGTTGCTGGTCTTGGCTCTTCAAGACTCTTAATAATTAATTCATCATAGTGGTAGACCGTTGTTTCCTCATCTATAAAATGATGATCCTAATGTTTGCTTGAGGGAGCTTAGTGGTAAGAAGCTGTTCTGCAACTCTAAAGGCACACAGTTCGAGTCCATCAGCTGCTTCGCAGGACAGTCTTCTCCTGTGCAATTTACTTCCTATGAAAATCGACAGGAGGGCCAGCTATGGGTCGGTTCCAACTTGATGGCACACAACAACAACAACAAACAATTTCTGCTTTGTGCTTACAATAGTAGAAAAGTCAGGTGTGTTCATAGTAGTAGCTGTGCCTGATGGCATAAGTGTTACCCAAAATGTAGTCTTTTATTATTATTATTATTATTTCTGTTACCAAAACTCTTACTGATTTGTTATCCCTCTTTCCTTTCACCAGTGATAAACACAGTGATATACTGAAAAGAATACCTAGACTAGATTCAGACAATCTTGTCTTCATTTATTAACAGTGACTCACTGGAAAGTCCTTTAATCCTTGCCAAAGCCTCAGTTCTCCTTTCTTAAATGGGCCTAATTAGACCAAGACTGTGAAAAAATGCTTTGTGATATCTATAAAACTTGCTTATTGCAATCGAGTCAGAACCGACTCCTAACTGACCTCCAGCAGGTGTTTGGAGGCTCTGATTCACATGGGAGCAGATAATACGTTTCTCCCTTGGAACTGCTAGTGGATTCGAACTGGCAAAGAGATAATGAAATTTGCAGCCTCAGAAAATCTGCTAGAGGGTCAGCTGTGAGTTGATTTTGACTCAATGGCAATGAGATATCTATAGTATGGAAAATTTTTTGGATTTTTTTCTCTCTGTATTTTCTGCTTGAGAAAAAAAACCACCAAAACCAAACTTGTGGTTGATACGATGCTGAGCACTGTGACACTGATGTGTGGATGTGATAATGGTTACCCGTGGCAGACAGTGTTTGCTGGAGCTCCCCGATTAAAATAAGCCTGGAAACAGGAGTGGCATCCACGTCTGAAATGGCTTGCCTCCGTAAACTCTATGAACAGTGCTTAGGCCTTTGATTCATAGGGTCACTATGAGTCGTCTATGACTTGATGGCACCTAACAACAACAACAGCAACATTTTCTGCTTATTCCCCTTATATCACAGGAAATGGGATAAAGGACTGACTATTAAAATTGTGCTAGAAACCTGTGTTCTCAGTTAGGTGCTCGTAATGTCAGTGAGAGTTAAACATTTGTGAGGTGAACAAGTGTTAAGTACTCTCCATCTCTTAGTCTCACAAATCATCTAGGGATGGACTAAAAAGGCTCAGCTATGTGCTCTGCTTTGATAAATAATACCTGGGATCCCCAAGTGGAACCCATCCCAGTCACTGTCAGTGGGATCAGAAAAGAAAGAATCATATCACAAGCTGTTATTAGACCATTGAGAATTGAAGCTGTGGTCTTTTGTTCACCCAAGTTTCTGTTTTGAATAGATTTAATCCATTTTTCTCTAGGATCTAACATTTATCTCATTGTGTCTCATCTTCTTAGAAAACCATATGTACTTATTTGAAGGTAAAGATTATTCTAAAGAGCCTAGTAAAGAAGACAGAAAATCATTTGAGCAACTGGTGTATCTTCAGAAAACTCTTTTGGAGAAAACTAATCACGAGGGCCGATCACTCCGAAATAAAGGCAATGTAAGAACTATTTATGTAAAAGAACAGATTCTTCCAAACTGTCAACATAAGTATATATGTATTATTTCTATTTATTTCAATATTATTTATAGTACACATATAAATATGTGGGGTTTTTTTGCCAGCCAGGATGCAAAGAGTAATTTGTTATAACATGAACCTGTAAGTAGTTTATTGATACTTAAGTGTAATTGACTGTACCGTAATAGAAAAACTTAGGTAAAGAAAACCAGAGGGTGGCCTAGTGGTCAGAGCTGCACTGTAATCCCGAAGGTACACAGTTTGAATCCCCCAGCTGCTCCATGCGAGAGGGATAGGTAGTCTCCTCTCATATAGTCAATTGCCTCAGAAAACTCAGCTATGAGTCATTTCCAACTTGATGGCATACAACAAGAGCAACAGTAGAAAAACTGTATAAACACTTGGCATAGAGAACATTCGCAAAAAGAGTTTATTTTACTACTTAATGCTAGTGAGAGTAGTCTTACCTACCTCAGCCACCTCTGATGGGATTGCTACATTACAGCAAAAATACCATACGCTGCTGTTGTTAATCATGACCCCAAGTCATACAGACAACTTGACAGTCATTGATGGTGCATGTCAGGTGCATAGAAGTCCCTCATTATTAAGATAATAATGATATTGAAATAATCTTTCAATTAAAAAAAGAGGTGCCTTTTAGGACTATGTCCATTAAAAAAGGTTACACTTATTATTGTATCTTGCAAGATATGATTTCAGTCAAGAACAAAACAATTCCTAAATTACATTATTCCTGATGAAATGAGTCAAAATGGCGTCTTCTTGTCCCATACATGCCAGCACTTTGGTTGGGTTTAGACCACAATGTCTATGTTGCTACATCATATGAAATGATGTGTAATATAACCTGTTCATCAAAGTGTGTTTGTCAGTATTTCTGACCACATAGTGTGGCATGAAGATACAGTGTTTTGTGAAATACACTGTATCTTCATGCCACAGTATGTGGTCAGAAGTGGATGGCCTAGGAGAACAGGTCACCCTTGATCTTCTGCTCTTGGATCTTGTTCTTCCTCCAGACTGTCATCCCAGGCCTGGTGGAGGGCTCCTCCAAAAGGAAGCAACTCTTGAGCCCAGAAGAGCTAGAGAACAGAAAGAAAAAGAGACAAGAGGCAGCAGCCAAGAGAAAGCGACTAATAGAGGAGCAGAAGAGGAAAAAAGAAGAAGCTGAACATAAGAAAAAGTACGTACCGCTGCACATTGAGCAAGTGCAAAGGTACAGCTAGTGTAAGACTCGCTGGTGTGTGATTTTAACCTTAGTTTAAAAGTGCAGAAAAAATTCTATTAAAACTTGTAGTTCCTTTATACCATAGACTAGGCCTTCTAAGTTTGTTTCCCTTTTGTCTTTTATGATCTTTATGGTTTGGGGCTTTACCCCTAGGTCTCTGATCCACCTTGAGTTGATTTTTGTGTATGATGTGAGATGTAAATCTATGCAGCACTCAGGAACAATGCTTTCTAAAAATGCTTTATAACATGGGAGAGGGTGGAGAGCGTTATGTTAAGTGAACTAACTCAGTCTCTTAAGGACAAGTACTATAAATAAGACCATTATTGTAAAAATAGGGTAATTAGTAAGATGTGTACAAAAGTCCAAAGGGGGAAAAAGGAGGGGGTGGAGGAGGGAGGCAGAGGGTGGGTGAAGATAGGGAAAATCATGAGGTTGCAGAGTTTGGTGGGGAGAGGGAGGGAGTGAAGGAATTAGGAAAGATCCAGTGGGAGAAGGCAGAGTAAGGACGGACATGGATCAATGGTGATTAATTTTATAAAACATAGTAAATGGGAATGATCATATGAAATGCAATGTGAATAGAAGAATGTGTGAAACAGTATATAAAAATGATTATAAAAGTGTATGAGTTTTGTATGCAAATAAATATAAAATAAAAATAAATTTTAAAAAACCTAGCCAATAGAAAAAAAAAAGAACACACCCAAACCAAAAACCACTTGTTCCTGTTGGCAACAGGATACTTTTAAAAGATTAAACTTTAACCTTAACATTTCAGTCTGCTTAAATGGGAAATCCTAGGTGCTTACAGCAAAGAAGATCCATTCTCTTAAAATAAGAAAAATGTTAAGATTTTATTATAGCTGTCTGAAAAGGTAGTTTACTTGAACAACTGTTTTAGTCATGTTCTTGATGCCAGGGACATGGGGATGCTCTGTTGAAGTGTAGTCATGAGGCAGTTGTGCTAATCAGTGAGGCTTCTTGTTTATTTACAAATAAGCAGAAAACTGCAATCAGGGTGAGCTTCTAATTGCATTTCCACTTGGCATTTATTGTTTGTGAATAGCAGTACAGAATGTGCTCCAAGGGGAAATTGTGATAGACTCAGTTAATTCTCTTTTCTCTCTGGTCTGCTGAAGGATGGCCTGGTGGGAGTCCAACAATTACCAGTCATTCTGCCTGTCTTTTGAAGAGAGTGAGCTAGAGGGCTCCGAGCATGGGGAAGATGAGAGTTCTGCTGAACTGGATTACCAAGACCCAGACTTGACCTCCATTAAGTACGTTAGTGGTGATGTCACCCATCCTCATGCCGGCGCTGAGGACGCGCTCATCGTTCACTGTGTAGGTAAGAGAAGTGGTTCAGGGCAGGAGTGCGCCTTGGACTTTATAGCAGGCCTCATGAGGAGAAGGCAGAAACCTAGCCTGGACAACAGTGCTCAGCTGGTTTTTTTGTGGTCAGAAGTGCTTGGATTTTTCAGGAGAAACCTGGAGACTTGGATTGATTATTGACTTTCTGACTAGTTATATAACCTTTTTTGAACTTCATCATCACCTGTGGAATGGGATAATACCTGCAAGGCTTTTAAGAGGCAATGTCTAGAAGACAATTACCTCTTTTAAAAGTGGGGAAAATTTTAATTATAGGACCTTTGTACTTTTTATTTCTTCTGCCTAGCACCTCCTCTTCCCACATAGCCACATCAAGAAGCACATCTGCCTCTCAGAGAAGTCTTCCTGATAGTGTCACATAAACACACCGTTCCCACCTGTTACTCTCTCTCTATCATGTATCATGTATATCATCACCTGACGATACCATGTATTTTGATTGACCCCTTTTGTTCTAGGAAATAATCTTCATGAGAGCTGAGATCTTTTTTCCTATCCTGTACCCTTTACATTTAATACTTGCTAACAAATAATTGTAGTATTATTGAAAGAAGAGAGGACTATAAAAACACACTGTTAACCAGCTATGTCAGGACCGCACTGAATGAGGCAGTGAGCCTTTTCCTTTCCTCCTAAGTGCAACTGTGAACTGTTGCATTGCCAGTGCTTCGACTCACTCTGTTTTCTCGGCATCCATCCACTCTCCATCCTTCCTTAGTCAGCTCCTAGAAGTTACAGGTGCACCACAGAGATCCTGTGTATGCATAATGTGAGTTTTTAGGTTGTTTTGTTGTTAAGATGTGCAGCTGTATCTTCTAGAAAATCTAAACATATTGGAAAATCTAATCTCTCATATTCTTTTTGTTTAAATTTAAATAGAATTTTTATGTTATACTGGTTTACTTACACAGTTTGTATACATAGTTTTCCACACCGGATCTTTCCCATAATACTCTTAGATCAGGCGTCTTTCCTTCTGTTTGAAAAGTCATTCTCCCCACAAGCCTAATTGATGTATTTTTTATTTTTAGGGGGGTTTTTTTGTTTTTTAATTGTGGACTGGGTTGTACTTCCTATAGATGAAAATGTTCTTTTTCTTCTATAGATGACTCTGGCCACTGGGGCAGAGGTGGTTTGTTCACAGCTCTGGAAACACGTTCAGCAGAGCCAAAAAGAGTATATGAGCTGGCAGGGAAAATGAAAGGTAAGAAGGAAACGTTAGGAAAGAATAAGAGAGAAGGAGGTAATATGTTGATAAGAAGTACCTGAGTAGGAATCAGAATTCTGTCCTAAGTTACAGCTAGTTGTAATATGACCCCGGCCTCTCTGTGCCTGTTTTCTTGCCTGCCATTCACACATACATAATACTTGTTTCACCTATTTATTTCATAAGATTCAAATCCAAAGTCAAAGTCATTGCTGTTGAGTTGGAATGAACCCATAGCCAACTCTCCAGGTGGTTTCTGAAGCTATAAATTTTATGACAGGAGATTGCCCATTTTTTTACCACGGAGCCTCTGATGGCTTCAATAATAATAGACACCACCTATGGATTAATTGACATATTTCAACAAACAGACACTGCCCTGAAAGTGCTCACCAAGTTGTGCCAAGAAATCTGGAGGACAACCACCTGGCCAACTGACTGGAAGCGATCTATATTTGTTCTCATTCCAAAGAAAGGCAATTTGACAGTGTGGAAATTATCAAACAGTATCATTGATATTACATGCAAGCAAGATTCTGCTGATATTATCCAAAAATGACTGGAACAGCACATCAACAGAGAACTGCCTGAAGTGCAGGCTGGATTTAGAAGAGGCTGTGGCACTAGGGATATTATAACTAATGCCAGATGGATCTTGGCTGAAAGAGAGTACCAGAGGGATGTCTATCTGTGTTTCATTGACTATGCAAAGGCTTTTGACTGTGTGGGTCACAATAAGCTGTGCTGACTCTGAGAAGAATGGGAGTCCCAGAACACTTGATTGTGCGTATGCGAAACTTATACTTGGATCAGGAGGCAGTCATCAGAACAGAGCAAGGAAACACTGGATGGGTCAGAATTGGAAAGGGTGTACACCAGGGACATGTCCTATCTCCATATCTTTTTAATCTCTATTTGGAAAAGATTATCCGGGAGGCTGGGCTCTGTGAGGAGCAGTGTGGAATCAAGATTGGAGGTATACTCAACAACAATCTGCATTATGAAGATGACACACTGTCTGCTTGCTGAAATTGAGGAGGACCTGAAGCACTTGCTGCAGAAGGTTAGGACTGCAGCCTTCAATATGGATTGAGGCTCAATATCAAGAAAACAAAGATTCTAACCACTGGGCTGATTGGCAGCATCTTGATAGATGATGAAGAGATTGAGATTGTTTTCAGCTTCAGTTTGCTTGTCTCTACAATCAGCACTTTTGGTACCAGCATCCAGGAAATGAAAAAATAATTGCATTGGGAAAATCTGCTGTCAAAGACCCCTCCAAAGTACTAAAGAGCAACTGAAGAGTCTCAGTCTGGAGACTAAGGTGTGCCTGATTGATATAGGTCATGGTCTTTACAATTGCTTGCTATGCATCAGAGAGCTGGACAATGACTAGGGATGATAAAAGCATAGTTGATGCCTTTGAGCTGTGGTGCTGGAGAAGAGTATTGAATATACCATGGACTGTAGGAGAACAAACAAGTTCATGCTGGAGAGAGTGAAGCCAAGTTGCTCCTTGGAGGCAAGAATTCTGAGGCTTTGTCTGACATACTTTGGACATGTTGCAAGGTGGGATTAATCCTTGGAGAGAAACATCATGCTTGGGAGGGTGGAGGGACAATGCAGGAGAGGAAGATCCTTGATGAGATGGAGTGATTCAGTCACTGGGGTAATGGGATAGATGTGTCAGATAATAATATTGGCAAGGAATAGAGCAGGGGTTAGGGCTGTTATACATAGGGTCACTCTAAGTCGCAGTTGACTCAATGGCACCTAACAGCAACAACATGGGTTAAGCAATGCAGCTCCCTACAGACTGTGTCACCAGTGCTCCCTTTCATGGGATTAGACTGAGGATAATGAATGTGCAGGTTTTTAAAAAATGCCATTACCTGCAGATGTGTTGAAGTATTGGCATGAAGATTATACCATTGTTGGGTCAGGTCACCCATCTTCATAAGGAATATCTCCTGAAAATATCAGAGACCCGCAGAAGAGAAATCAGATGGACCATTCAAATGCTGACAAGAGCTGAGCTTTGGTACTGAGGGAAAGGAATTTCTATTGTGACGTCACTGCACTTGGGTGTAGTATTCCCTAGAGAAGGAAGTCAAGCTGTTTGGGACCAGGGTATCTTGGAATGCTGAACAGTATCCCCCGTGGGCAAAGAAAAGAAAAAAAATAACACCTTTTTTAAGTACAGAAGTCACAAAGTGGCACCTCACTGCCACTGAGTCCATTCTAACTTGAAACTGTTGTGTAGGACAGACTAGAACTGCCCATGGGGTTTCTGAGTTTGTAAAACTATAGCAGACTGCCCTGTTCTCCTGAGGAGCAGCTAGAGGGTTCAAACTACCAGCCTTTGGTTAGCAAACCAACATGCATGCATTCTGTCACCAGCGACCCTTTTAAAGTGACAGGAGTAATAAAATTATTCTGTGATGCTATCCTGGGTTCAAAAGACTAAACAGCCTTGACCCTGCAGGTTTCTTAGTTATCAATCCAGTTTTCTGGGGTGAAAAGAGATATAAGGACTTAAGGGGTTGGTTTTTCTAGTCACAAATTACTGGAAAACAGCTTAATATGATTTTAAATAACACATTCTGGTCTAGATATTTATGGGCAACTGGAAAAGCACAAAGTTCAGGAAAGGTGGCAAATGTGGATGCAGAGCAGAACACCTGTTTGGAGCCCTTGTTTAAATCAGAAACAAGAAGGCAGGGGACAAACATGGAAAGCACCTTTACTTTGGAGTTGAGACAAGAAAAAGAGACAAAGAATTATCAGGAAAAAAAATAGGAGAAGCTTGAGAATAGTATTTTGAAGTGCAGAGGGGCCGGTATGAAGAAGGAAAAAAGGGGTCTGCCATCTCTGGGCAGGAATTGGGGAAAAATGCTGTTGAATTCGACTTGAAGGTGGTCACCTGACCTCAGAGCACTTTGAGTAGAGTGAAGACTAAAGCCTGGCCACCTGGAATTAAGGTAGAAAAGATTAGTAAGGAAACAGGTGGGGGCGTACCTGCTTCTCTGAGAATTGATAAACTATAGTAGAGTATGAAGCTGCTATTACTGATTAGAAGGTTTAGAATTAACATCACTGACTTAGAATTATTAGGGGTGGCTTCATGGAGGCGTGAAAGTTCTGTGGGACATGAAAAGATGATTGAGTTTTTTAATAAGTGAAGCAAACTGGTGAAGGGATCCCTAACTATGTCTCTTTGATATCCTGCTCAACATTACCATTTCTCTGTATGAGTCTTCAGTGACCCAGGTAATTACACAGATAATGGGTTTGAAGAATGGCACATGTGCCAGACAGGTCAGAGTAAAGGATTTAGGCTGAAGAATGGTGAAGGAGAGTAGGATCATCAAGAGAGGCCGGGGTTACATCATGGAAGACTGTCCCTGTACATCCACGAACATGTCATTCAGAGCAAGCTTTACCAGTGAGTAATTTCTAGCATCTGGAAAATTTGAGCAGGTCAGAACAACATTCTAGAGTCTTACTAATCTAATGCTGCTGTATCAGAGCTACCACAATGGAAGGTTTTAATAAAGAGAACTTTATGCTGTTACAGTTTGGAAGGATGGAAGTCCAAATTCAGGGTGCTAGACTTAGGAGGAAGCTCTCTCTGTTGGTTTTGGAAGAAAGTTCTTGTTCCTTTCAATATCTGTAGGGCTGGCTTTTCCTAGACACCTTCATGGGTCTTGGCCTTCCCCAGTATCAGAGGGCTTCAGGCAAGGACCTGGGCCCAAAGAGATATACGTCACCCCTGGTGATTATTTCTTGGTGGTACAGGGTGATCCCTCTCACTCCACTTTTGTCTTTAATGAGATAAAAGAGTGTCACAGCCTAGGGAAACTTTTCTTACATCTGATTAGGACTAAAACTGGATTAAGGAGTCCTGTATGCTACCCTTAATCCTCTTATTATCTGGTTTAACAGGAAAGGTGTGTGTCAGGGTTGTATGCTCTCTCCGTACCTGTTCAATCTGTATTTTGAGCAACTCATTCAAGAGTCTAGACTCTGTGAAAAAGGATGTAACATCAGAATCAGAGGAAGACTCATCAACAACCTGTTATGCAGATGGCACACCTTACTTCCTCACTGTGAGAAGGACTTGAAGCCCTTGCTACAGAATATAAAAAACCACAGGCTTCAGTATGAATTACATTTCAGCATCAAGAAAACAAACATTTATACCATGTACAAAAATGATAGCTAACATCATCATAGATGGAGAAAAGATTGAAACTGTTAGTGACTTCATCTTAATTGGGTCCACAATCAACACACTTGGTACCAGCTGTCAGGAGATCAGGCAGTGTATTGCACTGGGAAAGTGTGCAGACAGGGACCTCTCCAGAGTACTGAGGAGCAGCGATGTCAGTTTTGAGCACTAACGTCCAACTGATTCAGGCTAGGGTCTTTTCAGTTACTTGCTATGTTGTTGAGAGACGGACAGTAAGTAAGAATGACAGAAAAAGAATTGATAGCTTTGAACTATGGTATAGGAGAAGAGTACTGAATAATCCCATGGACTATGAAAAGAGCAGACAGATATGTTTTGGAGAAATTGGAGTCAGAGTGTTCTTTGGAGAGAAAGATGACAAAGCTTCATCTTAAATACTTTGAGCTTGTTGCTAGGAAAGGTTATTCCTTAGAGAGGGACATACTTGGAAAGGTGGAGGGTTGGCAAAAGAGAGGACCCTCAACCAGATAGATTAATATAGTGACTGCAACAATGGCTCAAGTGTATCAGAGATGATCAAGATGGAACAGGATAGGCCAGGGTTCATATCAGTTTTTATAGGCTTGCTATGGGTTGCACTTAACTCAATGGCACCTTAACAACAGCAACAGTTTGGTTTATAAGATCATGAAGGATCATTACATAGCTTCCACGTTGTATAGAGCTTTAGACTTCTTTAGAGATACCATTCAATCTGTGGCATTGACCTCAAAGATCGCGATGTGATAGAACTAAGAGTTGTAACTCTTGACCAAGAAAGCCCCAAGCAGGACTGGTGACATAAGGCCCCAAATAAGGCCCAGTGGCTGAAAGGTTCTGATTCAGAACTGTATTCTGAGTTCTTCCTGTTGCTTTTTTTGTTGATCTTCTTCCTAGTTTTATCTTGTTACTTCCTTGATAAAAGCTATCCAGGGTGGATTGAGAAGGGCAGAGGTTCAAACTGGAATATATAAAACCAGAGAATCAATTTGATTTTATTTGGTTGGGGTCACTAACTCCCTCATTGCTGTCATGTTGGGACTGACTTTGAATTATAGCTGGCTCCCCCTGGGTTTCTGATGTTGTAAATGGCACAAGAGGAAGTTTCTGGTCTTTCTCCCTCAGAGTAGTCTTTACCAGATTTGAACTGCGAGAAAGGGGCAGCTTTGAATTCTCATCACAACTCCCTACAGACTATACTACAAAAACTCTACTGAGTGAAGAAGGGAAATAAATAGGTTAGCATACATAAATACAGTTGCATGCAGTATTTTTATCATTTAAAACATAAAGGTTCTAGAAGAATTTCAGTTTATTGGGCCTTGAAGCCCTCTAAATTCCTCCAGTCTTTGCATTCACTCTTCCTGCCTGCAGGTGTGCTTTGTCAAAATGTTTGAGATTCTGGACTAAGTTGATAAAGGAAAGACTAAGAGAGTAAGAAAAGGCTATGATAAACTACAGGCTAGAAGGATCCAGTTTGAATTGGGTTTGGAAAAGGAAAAGTACATGAGTGCTCCCTTCAGATGGCCTTAGTCTTTCGTGCACTTAATATTCCTTTCTGTTGTCTTTTTTTTAACCCCTCAGACTTGCATTTAGGAGGTGTTCTTTTATTTCCTATTGATGATAAAGAATCAAGAAACAAAGGACAGGATTTGGTAAGTAAAAAGCAGATCTCTTACCCAAATAAATTTGGTGTACCTCAGTCTCTCAGGAGACTGGTTTGCCTTCTGGTCTCTAGTATGTGGTCCTCATCCGCTACTGCACTCCCGCTGTGAGTGCTGCTCCTGTCACTCATGGTGGAGCCCTGCCCTCCACCTCCTGTCCCTTCAGCTCACCTAGACTGTGCATACCCTAAATGTGAACACTTGGTTCTGTTTCCCTTTGTAACCTCAGTCACAGCAGAATACTGGCTCAAAGAAAACATTTTCAATTTACAGTAAATATTTTATTTACTGAATAAGAAAATAGGTTTCAAAACTGACAATTTCATCAGTTATTACATTAAAAGATCTTTGACAAATTGGGCTTTCTGGCCAGTCATAAGCAGCAGAAGAATAAATCCTTCTTCCCTTTTCCCACATGACAGTCCTTGCTTTGCATCATAAGTAACTTCTACTTACTTGCTGTTTGAACTCCTGTAATGAGTTTTATTTACCACACTTACTTGGATTACGCCGAGGCCTGAATTCATATTCAGCTGAGCCAAATCTTATTTACTGAAAACAGAAAAAAAAATAGAAAGGGGTCTGAAAGAAGGTGATCATTCTCTTTAGGCTGGTGGCCTGCATGGCTCACAATACAGTGATTTCTGTTGGCTTTATAAGCATTCAATAATTTCCCAAATCTTAAATAAAATGAGTTGTTGTTGTTGTTATGTGCCGTCGAGTCATTTCCGACTCATAGCGACCCTATGCACAACAGCCCTAAACCCTGCTCTATCCTGCGCCAACTGCACCGCCTCTGACACACCCATCCCGATTACCCCAGTCACCGAATCAGTCCATCTTATAGAGGGTCTTCCCCTCCTGCGTTGTCCCTCAACCCTCCCAAGCATGATGTCCCTCTCCAAGGACCCGTCCTTCCTGGTAACATGTCCAAAGTATGTCAGACGAAGCCCCAGAATCCTTGCCTCCAAGGAGTAGCTTGGTTTAATCCTCTCCAAGATGGATCTGTTTGTTTTCCTGGCAGTCCAGGATACATTCAGTACCCTTCTCCAGCACCATAGCTCAAAAGCATCCACTCTCCTTCTGTCCTCCCTAGTCATTGTCCAACTCTCTGATGCATAACAAGCGATTGCAAATACCATGACCTGTATCAGGCGCACCTTAGAGTGACATAATTTTTGTGCATAAGAAACTCAGAATCTAGTGATTCAAGAAAACTGCACACTGACTAGGAAGCCTTTTGTACTATATAATTAGAGTGATGTTAGTCCCAGAAGCTCCTTGTTTATACTCTGACTTTCCCCTACTTTAGGATAGTTAAATGGTGTTATTTGGCACTTTTCCTTTATGGGAATTGTCTGGACAGAGATAAAATACTGACTACTTATCCAAGAGCTAGAAAATTCTGCTCCTAAAACTCAAACTCATTATTTTTGAGAGCATTTAGAAAACCTAATTTTTGTTAGACTTTGTTTTAAATGTACCTTAAAAAAGAGAAAGATAAACCTTGTAAAATTACTACAAAGTAAAATAAAACAGTTATGACAGGTGATTATTATATATCTAGCCGTCGTTACGTGCTATGGAGTTGACTCCTAGCTGACCTTCCAGAGGGTTTTCAGAGGCAGTAAAGCACATGAGAGTTGATTGTCCATCTTTATGTCACAGAGAAGCTGGCAGATTCAAACTGCGTGCCTTTGGATTGATAGCACAATTCCTACCCACTAGGCCACTAAGCTCCCTCATATATCTGGTAGGATGTGATTTTTTAACTAAAGCACACAAAGGAGATGGAGCCAGCCCCAAAGTAAACCACAAAGACCATTTTCTGTCTGTTGGAGGACTTCTTGCTCCTTCTCAGGGAGCAGGCCACCTTAGCGGCATTTCACAACAGAGCAAGAAAACACTGTATGGTTCAAAATCAGGAAGGGAGTGAGTCAGGGATGCATCCTGGCCCCGTACCTTTTCAATCTATATGCAGAACAAATCATTCAGGAGGCTGGGGTTTATGAGGCAGAATGTGGCATCAGGATTGGAGGAAGACTCGACAACCTACATTATGCTTGCTGACACTGGGGCAGACCTGAAGCACTTGCTGCAGAAGGTCAAGGACTGTGGTCTACAATATGGATTGAAGCTCAACATCAAGAAGACAAAGATTCTCACCACTGAGCCAATTGGCAGCACTAGGATGGATGGATGGATGGATGGATGGATAGATGAAGAAGAGATTGAGGTTGTTAGCACTTACAGCTTGCTTGGCTCCACAATTAATACTCTTGGCACCAGCAGTCAGGAAATCAAAAGACAAATTGCTGTCAGGGAGCTTTCCAGAGTACAGAGAAGCCACAGTGTCAGTCTAGAGACTAAGGTGTGCCTGACTCAGGCCATGGTGTTTGCAATTATTTGCTATGTATCAGAGAGCTGGATAATGACAAAAGATGATAGAAGAATTGATGCCTTTGATGCATGGTGCTGGAGAAGAGTCTTGGACATACCAAGGAATGCCAAGAAAACAAATAGGTCTGCCTTGGAGAGAGTGAAATCAAGTTTCTCCTTGCACACTAGGACTTTGAAGCTCCATCTTGCATACTCTGGGCATGTGGACAGGCGGGACCGATTCATGTAGAAGGAGATCATGCTTGGAAGGGTTGAGGGACAGCACAGGAGAGGAAGACCCTGGATGAGATGGATTGATATTGGGACTAAGGCAATGGAATGTGTGTCAGAGTCAGTGAAACTGGCTCAGGACAGGGCAGGCTTCAGAGCTATTGTGCATTGGGTAACTATGAGTCATAGGCGACTTGATGGCATATTACAACAATAGCAACAACTATTAATGGTGGTTCTTTCTAGTTGGCCTTGATTGTGGCTCAGCACCGTGATCAATCCAATGTCCTGTCTGGCATTAAGATGACAGCCCTAGAAGAAGGCCTGAAGAAGATATTTTTAGCAGCAAAGAAAAAGAAAGGTAAGCTGGGAGTAGACATGTTTCTCTTTCAGTCATGTGCACTGACGTAATATGCGGCTGCCGAAAAGGAGGTGAGAAACCTCAGGACCCCATTCAATGAGCATGGTAAATAAAGGCTAACCCCGGTGTAAGAGGTGACAGAAAAGTCACTTTATCTTGCACTTTTTATATTCACTTTCCTTTCCAAATTATTTTCAAATCTCTTATCCCTGGGGACATTACTGGTCATGATTTTATAGATGAGAAAGCAGATGACTAGGTAGTTTTTGTTGTTGTCAGGTGCAATTGAGTCGAATACGACTCATAGCGACCCTATGAACAAAAAATCAGAAACCGGTTCTGTCCTACACCATCCTCACACATTCTGACATACAAGAGCCCACTGCAGCAATCACCTTATCAGTCCACCTGGTTGAGGGATTTTCCCTCCCTCGCCGACCCTCCACCCTTCCCAACATCATGTCCCTCTCATAGCACCTCCTAGCAACATGTCCAAAGTATGTTAGGTGAAGCCTCATCATTCTTGCCTCCAAACAGCACTCTGACCCTACCCTAAGGTGCATCTGTTCATTCTCTTGGCCGTCCATGAGATGCTCAGTGCTCTTCTTCAACACCACTGCTCAAATGCATCAATTCTTTTTCTGTCATCCTTATTCATTGTCCAGGTCTCAGATGCATAGCAAGTAATTGAAAAGACCATAACCTAAATCAGATGCACCTTAGTCCTCAAACTAACATTACATTCCTCAATAATTTGGAAAGGTCCCTAACTGCAGATTTCACATTGCAATGCATCTCCTTATTTCCTGACTGCTTGTACCAAGGGTGGGCACCTCATTTCATACACTTGGGAAATGCCATTTATGACATCCTCTCTTGAAGAGTCACAACCTACATGAGCACACAGTTCTCTTTTGCCCAAAATGAAAATATTTCATTTAGTTTGCATACAGAGTGTGTCTTAGAGTTGGTTGAATGGATTGACTCATTAAAGAATCTCTGCTTATTATCATTGTGTCCTTTATTCTGTTTTTACTGCAAACAGACTTACTTTCAGAGTCTTTAAATCCAGTAAAATGATTTAATATATTCTCCCTAGATATTTTTTTACATTGTAATGGAATATTTTGAGATGTTTAATTTGTACCTTAACAGTCAATTTCTGATGAACTTCATAGTTTTATCACCTATTTTTTTATTTTATTTTTTAATAGCAAGTGTCCACCTTCCACGAATTGGTCACGCCACGAGAGGTTTTAACTGGTATGGCACTGAGCGACTTATTCGGAAACATTTGGCTGCAAAAGGCATCCCAACCTACATGTATCCTTTGGTTTTGTTGTGTTGATAGTGTGCTCTGCCCTAACTCTTAGGGAACATCTGCTGCATTTTATAGTGTCAGTATGTAATCCAAGACCAAGTCCTCTCCCACCATGCTTTACACTCTGTCCAAAGAGGAGAACATATTTATACTCATCCAATAAAGAAAATTCCCAAAATATTGTTTTGTTAGTTATGCCAGTGTTTCTAATATTTGCATAACTCAGTGAACCAATATTTTACAAATGAACAGTGCATGATGTTACAGTATTATACATGATTAAAATAATCACGTGAAGTGTAAAATTGATGAATATATTTTAATGTAACAAATTATGAAATTTGATAAAATTCAGATTCCAAATTGCAGAAAATAAAAGAAATTAACACTTAATGAGCTTTCATGTAGAATCAAGAAAAAATATCTATGATAAAGCCATTAAAATATTTCTTCCTTTTCTAATTACATATCTATAAGACCATATTTTTCAAAAATAATTAAGATTATACCTGATAAAGACACTGCAGTGCAATCCCAGAGGTACGCGGTTCAAATCCACCAGATG